CTTTCGGATAATTCGACGCCGTTGCCGGAAAGCTCTCCACTACCCGTGCGGCTTTGGACTGAGGAACAACTGCTTGCAGGAGGTACTGGAATTTATCTTCATCTGGAATCGTCGGATCTTCATGGATCTTCGAAAACTGGCTCCAAAACGTCAAAAATTCTTTTGCTTCGCCGTTGAATTTCTTTAGTTCGATCTTCGGCAGTTTAAATTTGCGCTTCTCTGGTAATTCAGTAGGTAAAGGATTCTTCGACAGCTTTTCGATTTGAGAACACAGTTCAAAAAAAAAATATTTATCTCTATAAGGCTCAGACGAAATAAAATCTTCTCATATAGGCTCTCAGTAAACTGAACAAATAAAATCTTCTTCTTCTATCAGTTTCTTAGTTAGCTTTTTAGCTTCTTTAGATTGTAGAATTAGCGACGTTACTTCCTTCCTTTGGCAAATTTCAAGTCGATTAAACTTGTCTCTAAGCTGTTGTTCCAGAATCGAAAGTAGCTTCAAATCAGGAATATCTGATTTCAGTTCTGCATCAATTTTGTTTGCACATGTGGTAAAGGAAGTTCTTAGACATTTTCTTTCGGTTTTCAGCTGTGTAAGCTCCATTTTCAATTTATTTTAGCTGTTATCGCGCCCCACGTCTTGGCGCCACAATGTTATGTTACGTAAGGCGTTACGTTCGAACAATGGCTAGCTCAGAAGGGATTCGTAAGTCATCTACCCGATGAATTAACAGCTATCTTGTCATAAATGGAGTACTTCATTTAAACTTAAGCAAAAAGATTTATTTACACATAAAGACAAGTTAAAAGAATATGAAATATTTATCTAGCTACAATATCTATCTAGCCACATCATGCAAACATCGTGCTTAGCTAACTAAACCGGAACTGTTCGTTTTCCTCTGGCGTCCCATGACGTCAGTCTCTATCTGGCTTTTTATTCGCTGGCGTAGTGATGCCATTCCCAACAATCAGTATAAATAAGGCATTCATAGAGTCATGCTCACAAAATTTTTAATCGCATATCTAAATTTATATACAGATTGAAGATACCATAAACTAATGAGATGTCGCGGAATACTTTTTTAGAGTGAAACAACTGTTTATTCTTTCAGATAATTTTAAAAAAGAAGAAATGAACACGTCGATATTTCTGGAAGCAGTTTTCAGGTGTACCTTCTTAAAATTCTAGAAGTGATTTCATTTAAAAAAATATTCTCTAGACTTACTTTAGTTCTTAAAATAAATAAGAAATTTAAAAAAAAATGACAGCTGTCGGAATTAAACAATCTACGATAATGAAATTTAAAATTAGGTTGCGTAAGGCATGTGAGGCTACACCATCGAACTAAATGATTAATTGCTGCCATATCTCCATACCTAAAATCTTTTTAAGCAAACAATTTTCTGCCAGTTACAAAACGAGCAATATATTTTACTTCTCTCCGTTGGTCTTGGTGCCTACGTAACATGCGTTAGCGATGTAGGAAGGAAAGTCAAGGAAAAGAAAAGTATAAATAATGCATAAAGTAAAAAATAAATAAATAAAACAAAATCTGAAATGTTTCAGATTTTAAATTACGTCTAAAGGGGCGTTTTTTAACGTTTTGTGCATTATCTTTATTTATTAAATATCATGCTCTTTGCACTTAAACCATAAAATTCAATTCAATAGCAATGTCGCAAAATAATTTTAGAATGAGCATATCTTTAAAATTTCCGCGCGCTGTAGATAAAATGGGTTTTTTTCCCCGTACAGTGTTGCCATTGCTCGCTTTGAAACCCTTGAGTTTGTTAATCAAAAATTCGTTAAAGTTTTACAAAATATGAAATCGATAATAAAGCAGATTCCAAATTTCAAATGTGGTCTTCCACAATCCCATATTCGTAGGAGGATTGCGTCATTCAAAATTCCGATGGCTCTATGTACCGTTGTTTTATCACAATGCGAGAAATATACATATATTTATGCAGATGTTTCATTATTTAATTTCTTCAAATGTAATGCAGGACTGTAACATTTAGTGGCAACAGTTTGAAAAGTGAAACGGACATTTGTAGTGATTCAACGCAAAACTGCAAAACGAAAACAATAGTCCTCCAGGGACAAAGCCCCTTTGGACTACTAAATAAAAATAATCTGATGTGTACACCACATGACTTCCTTGTATGGAATATTAAATTATACGCATTTTTTTCTTGCATTTCATTTAAACTTATTGGATTGAATTAAATCTACTTCCTCGACAGCGCATAAACCACAATAGAATAAAGGTATTCTTTAAAATTCACTCTATTTGTTTACCATAGTGACACTCTGGCGCTAGATTCACTTAACAGTATTATATTTCGTTCATATTGTAACCCATAATGCACAAAATTTATATCATTTAAAGAACAGAATTATCTAATCGTTGCCACATATTCTATTCAAATACTATAATAAAGCTAGAATGATGTATAAAAGAAATTAAGCAAATAAAACAAAAAAGAAAACGTTTTTCACAGACGATTGAGTACTTCTCATTCAATTAATTCAGTTCTCACTTCGCGAGAAGGCAAAAATACATAAAAACTCAAAATATCTATATTAAAAATTACGAAGTAAATCTTAAACACTTATTTCCTCGAAAAAAATTCAGAAAGGATTAAGCATGATTTATTTGGCAATAATAAATGAAGGCGTTATCTTTGTTATTGCGAAGCTAAGTTTCTCTAGATTGGCAACAAATCCACTAGTCTGCTGTTTCAAATGCAAACAATCAATGGCCGCCATAAAAAAAAGGCTTAGTGGCACTTAAACAACTTTAAAATTGTTGATAATTCTAATCATATTGCATACAGATTTACTAAAGGCATAAAAACATTAACCGGAAGATAAAAAGAACATAATTCAATCATTTTAAAGCAAAAAATGTACAATTTACAAACATATAAGAGTAAAGAAACTGAGATCATTGAGCCGGTTAACAGAGTGGATATATATATAAATATATTTATATACATTTGGTGCGGCCGATTGCAACCAAAATACGAGGTGCACATCTACATGTTATAGCAGTCCTATATACAAAATTTCAACGTTCTGAGGCTACTCGTTTTCGAGTTATGCGAGATACGTACGTACGTACATGCGCACGTACGTACATACGTTCGTACAGACGCCACAAAAAATTATCTTCAGAATTAATTTTAAAGCAGTTTTATAATTTTTTTTTGGAGGAAACGAGTTTTTTATTCTGCCCTTGCGTACAGATATCACGCAAAAACATCGTTAAATTGCATTCGATAACGGTCAAAATGGATATTTTCGTTGAAATATGCTGCCTGAAAATTTTCGCGATTACAATACTTCCTTTTTACTTCGTACAAGGAAGTAAAAAGGATGAAAGAAAGAAAAGAATAAAGAAGACTTTTTTATAAAGCACTTAATAAACGAAACGTCTTATAAGCAATTAATTTACTATTTTACCTTCAGAATTCGAAGCGTGATAAGCTAACAAACTGCATCTTTTGATCCTCTTATAAGACTTATCGGCCATCTTTACTCTCTTCCCTGCTGTATTTTTAAAAATATTCTACCAAAGTTTGATTCTTCTGAGGAATTATTAAAGCGTGGTACACAATACAAGCCTATTTAATAACTTCCATTGAATATGAGCAGATGTTCATTGACATATCACATTCAGACTTCCCCACCTGTTCATTCTTCTTAACTGGCATTTGGTTTTAGCACAAAAATGATCAGATATAGATTTTTATGTATGCTGAAAAAAATTCCATTGTGAAAGCCGTAGACGTAGCAGTATAATTTATTACACATGTTTGCTACTGTTAACGAGAACGAAAAGCTGTTATGAAAAGTTTCAGTCTATTAAGCGAAAAAAATCTGCTATTAATTTATATGAGAAAATTTTTGGAGTCTTCCTGGTCTCCAAGGAAAAGGCCATCTTTTTTACTAAATGGCTCTAAAAGCAAGAAAGATATGATAAATCTACACCCCTTGTAGAAAGAAAATGTTTGAACAGAGTACATAATAAGAGAACGCAAGACTTAGATTTGATAGCATATGATGCGTTAAGCTAAAGCGCCCCAGAGTTTCAATAATAGGAGGTACAGGATATAAAGAGGTAGGAGTTAAAAGGTAAAGATCATTCATTAGCATATTCAACGTTACTTAAGTCTGTCCGTTCACTAAGTTTGTAAGTTTTTAACTGCCTCCCTCAATGTTGAAAACCCAGTTTGGTCATCTGCTTCGGTCGACTTAAAAGCTTTCAACGATACCATGCTTGATTTCTTAGAATAATAGATTACATTTACCGTACAAACATTTGTACATAACCGAAGCCTTTGCATATAATCGAATAATCACATATTGAATCTGCATGGAGTTACAAACTTTAAGTTGTATGTTTTATAATTATTGCGTAACCTTGAATATAATCGAATAATCACATGTTGAATCTGCATGCAGTTACAAACTTTAAGTCGTATGTTTTGTAATCATTGCATAAACCTTGCCATATTGAACAATATTTCCACCTTTCATCATTTTTCAAAAATTGCCAAACAATATATGAAACCAATATGTTTCCTGTAAGGTTTACTGTCAGGTGTTGTGGTTATATGGTGAGATAGTCTAATTTTATTTTAGGTTTGCCATTTGTGTTCATAATGAAAATAACTAATAAAAAAAGGAACTTATGAAGCAAAAAATTGTCTGCTTGCTTCACCCCTGTTAAATGTTTAACGTACCTGCATTATTTATTTGTTAAAGAGAAACATTTACAAATTATAGGAATAATTAAAACATCAGTCTGTTTGGTGCAATAAAACTTTAAAATAAATTACAATAAAATTACTTTATAAGTTAACACATATTATAATACATTCATTGAATATCTAATTATTAGATATTGCTGAGAGAATTTCTGGAAGTATACAGAATAGAAATTCTGTTAAAATATTGTAAACTTACAATCAAATATGAAAACTGCAAATTTAAAAGTGGCAATCATTTATTAAAGTGAATCATCACAACATTCTCTTTAGAGTGAAAAATTTTACCTTTCTTAGTATATTTTGCACAATAATAAATTTAACATTTATAATTCGATTTAATTTTGAATATATAAAAAGTCACTGATTACCACACCATAATCTATATTATCCAGCTGTAAACATGTGATAAACATTCATCAAGAATAATTTTTAATGGAAATATTTTCATTCACTTAAATTAAGAGGAAATATAGATTAAAGCCAGTTTATCATGTATTGCATAAAGAAAAAAATTCATATTTTCTATATTATAAATTATACTTGTATTTAGATTATAATTTGATTTGTGACTAATGGTTTTAAACAACTCAGTTTAAAGCAATATTTCATAGGTTCTGTGCAATTATAATTAACTTGGATTTTCATTAACAACTGTACGTTAAACATTTATTAAAAATGTATGTTTACTTATAATTAACTAATTTTAAAATATTTTGTAATGCATAATAAAATAACTCATTATCATTAATTATAATAATTAATGAGTAAAAAGTTTTATTTTCATTGAATTATTGAATTTCAATTTTGTAAGCTGTTAACACAATACAGATAGCATTTGATAATATAAAGAATACAAAAGTTACCGAATAGTCCAATAAAGATTTATGAAAGCTTAATATTCAAATTTGGCGCGTCACATTTATTCATATCTATACGTCTTTATATAAGGCTTTTAATTAAGAAATTTGACGCATAATAGAAGATAGCACATTTTTGTAATTATTGTACTTTGTAATTATTGTACCATTTATGTAATTATTTGTACTTTGTGTGAAAGCTTATCACTTTATAACATCATATATCAAAACAATTCAAGCTAATTTCAATCATCAAAACAACGTAATAAAGTTTTGAAGTTAAGAAAGTTTCATTGAAAGGAAAATAAAGTACATGAAGAAGAAAAATTTAATTGAATTTTTGCAGCACCTTCAAGCATAAAGACACAGTAAAAACCAGATAAAACATTAGAAAGAAAAATAATATAATCTACAGGTGCTCAATGAAAAGTTATGCTTTTATGCATTTTTTAAAGGGCTAAACGTACATCCCGAAAAAATAAGTTTTCAAGAAGAATATTAGTGTAATATTTTTTACATGGCGTTTATTTATGATGTACAGTGACTCTTACTGCTAATAAATCTGTGAGTCTACAAAAAATTAATTAATATTCTGCCGTAACCACTCTGTAACGGAAGCTTCGATGCTTTCACGCCACTGAATATTTATTTTAATTAACTCAAGGCTTTGTTTTAGAGAATCCATACCAGCTCCCACCTTTACTCCACTAAAGAAATTCTTTACCTAAAAAAATAAATTAAAAAATGCTTAAATATTGCATAACAGAACAGATTAGTAAATCTTAATTTGCATATTTCAGAGAAATTGAAAATAATATAAATCTTGTTTATTTCTCTGAATATAACGTTCAGAAATATTAACCAATTAAATATCATTATATATAATTTAAAACATAGCATCTTCATTACAAATATACAGAGGGTAGACCCATACTTATGCAAAGATTAATCAAACAAAGTACATTCTTGAGACCGTGATAATTTTGACAACGTGATATCTTTTAGTTAAAACATACGAAATATGAATTTTTTGTACGGAACGCTAAGAAAGGTATTAGAATTAATTAACTGATTATTATACTTCTATATTCCGATTAATAGAAATAGAAACTAGTTTTAAATTTGCAAAATTATTCCTGAAATACTACCAAAATTAGATGACTTATTTTACTTTCGCTTCTTTGACAGGGAGAAAAAAGATTATTTACAGTTTATGTAAAATTAAATTTCACCAAATACAAGATTTCGAGTTTAAGTAATTCTACAAACAGAATTTGAAGCAAGCTTTGATACAATAAGCGGCGTTCAAACATACAATTTTTTGGTTGGTTTGCTTAATTACGAAAACGTATTCGAAGGCCATCTGCTCTAGGGAGAGGATGTCTTCGTGAAAAGATTTCTAAGGGAAACTGACTTACATACACGTTATAGAGGGCGCAATTTGCGATAAAGCCCATGCAACAAGCCCGTTCTTAAGGATTCGAACACTGGCCGGGATACTAGTGTTCAGCTACCTTAAGGCTCAGCTGCTATTGGCTGTTTGCTTTCTAACTAAACATCAAGCCGGACGATAACCCCAAATGGCGAAGAGGCTTCCTAGCGCAACAGCGAGATAGCAACGAATCGTGCGCTGGCTAGCGAAAACACATTCTGAATAAACTAAGAGATTCACCCATTTAAATACTCACTGCACTTAACTTTAAATTTACATCCTGGCGAGAAAATGGGAGGGAAAGTTGAGGAGTTCAGGAAAGGTATCAAACTTAAAATAAAGTTGTAATGCAAAATAAGGGAAACCCTACGAAGCTACTAGAAAACTTCTTTTCACTCACTCTGCTTAGAGAATTATGCAAACATTTAAGTTCCTAATGGTTTAACTGTAATTGATGCTGTGTGTAGCTGCAACAGTAATTCGTCCTTCATATGCCGTCCAGTAATTTCGAGAAGCAGAAAGTATTAGAAATATCTTGGCGGTCCAATAAAAACTATACAAGACCGGTGACAGCATCTGGTCTCGGTTGTTAATTCAGCGTGAGTCAGAGTATTGAGATATTTCCAAGTTCGTTTCGCTCTTTAGATTCGTTTGGCATTGCGTTGTGTTTAACGTTTTGAAGTGTAATTACTGGAAGTGTAATTAATTACACTCTGTGATACTGTGAAGCATTGTGCGACTATTTTTGTGGAAAGTTCCAGATCTCTGAAGTATATCTTTTGTCGAAATACATTTTATCGATCTATTATCGGAACTGTGTGCATTCAGTCTATTACGAACCCGTACGCACGAAACAATATTTTCCTATCTCAATGAAAAGCTTATGTAAATTTGATGTCATATTGAAAGAACCATGCGAACCACAGGTTCGGAAGAGTAATGTCGTGTGAAATGTCGCCCAGGGCGGTACAACGGTTAGAGGAGACTGACTGCGATACCGAAGGGCCCGGGTTCGAATCTCGGAGAAGGCAAGGATGTAAACCTGGTTAAACACGTATGGAAATTAACTGGAATAGTTAGTTACTAAAACTAAATAAATATAGAAGAATTAAGATGAAGCTAAAGTCCTTCAATGTTCAAGATGTGGCCAAAATCTTCACGATTTAAAATGTGTTGACATTCCTAAAAAATAACTGAATGGCACATTCAGGCTAAATTTCATAATAATATTCTCCGCATTTTAATATTTATCTTAAATGTATAACTGAGCTAGGATAATTTTAGCAATATTAATCAAAAATTCTTAACTATATAGTATGCTGTGCTATGTAATATATAGCATAACTGGAATAAAATTATCAATACAAACCTCATCATAATCAGCTTGAGTAGAGAAGTAAGAAACAGTTTCACTTATAATCATGCCCAATGCAAAAAATTCTTCGCCAAAACTGAAATTAGAATTACAGTTACATGATAGATTGCTCAGGAATTAAGTTGGCAAATAAGGATAATTTTCAATTTACATGTACAAGTAATAATAACAAAGTAAGCAAAAAGGTGAATAAAAGTTACACATGTAGGATTAAAGTAGTTTGGTATTAGTACTTGCGCATAATACTTTAACTGCATAAATATTTCATTAAATAAAATAACAAAGTGGCAGTACTATTTCCAATAATCCAAGGTTTTATAAAATGATATTTTAACTTAGGAATATCTTTACACCTTATAAAAAACACACTTTGTAAAACATAAATTTAATGAATTTGATCGTCATTAAGTTATTTAGCATTTAAAAAGATGACGTCATGCATTTTTACGCCAGATAAGCAAGAACAGCAAGTTGTGAATCATAATCGCAAACATGCAATTGATCAACCAGTAAATGATTCAAAAATCTGATGTATTGATTCCTCTTAATTTTTCTATTCGAAATGTTGCAAATATTTCTTCAGTTAAAAATGTTAAAATTAAAAAAAAAATAGTAATATTAAGTTTGTGAAAATCTGAGTTTTGATTTAAACCGTTATATTTTCAACATTTTTTAAATTCTTCAACCAGTTTTTAAACTGAAGAACGATTAAAATGTTCTTAACTCAAAACTTTTAAACAAACATAGCAGTTTATTCTTAAAATATTGTTAAAATATGTTATTAGCTCTTAAAATAATTCATTCTTCAAAATCAAAACTCCGATGTGGACGCCACATGACTTCCCTGTATTACATTATACACATTTTTTCCTGCACTGCATTTAAACTTATTTCCTCGAATTATTCTAAATTAACCGATTCCTCGAGGCAAGTTGAAAATGACATCAAAAGTTGCACATTTTAAAATTAAATATCCCGTTCAATGTTTGTCATAAACGTGTCAAATTTCTTCCAATTTTATTTTTTAATAACGAATATAAAACTTATTCAAAATAAGTATAGGAAGTGGGAGGCTGCATTAAAAGTTGGATTATTAGTTAGATTTCGTTATTTATCAAATGGTTTTTTTTTTTTTTTTTTTTATTTATTTTATTTGAGAGTGCCCAAACATGATTATTTTCGTCATTTAAAACACTTTTGTAATTGGAAGTATATAACTACGCCCAGAGATTGTGAAAATAAAAGCCAAGTAAGGACTTTTAAGCCGGATAGGCCAGTGGGAACATCTATATACGTTTTGGTTCAGGCGATTGCAAGAACAACGAGAGGTGCACAACTAGATAATATAAGTGTCCCACACACAAATTTCAACGTTCTACTGCTAATAGTTTTGAGTTATGCGAGATACATATATTACATATGTATGTGCGTACACATGTCATGAAAAAAGTCCTTTTAAATCCATTTCAAATCCACTTTACAGTCAGTCTGATAAAAAAAAGTACTTTATTCTGTCCGTACGTACAGATGCCATGCAAAAAGTCCTCTAAATGGATTCAGAAACGGTCAAAATGGATATTTTTATTAAACTAAAATAACCGAAATTTTTCGCAATTGCGATATTCAGTTTACTTCGTATAAGGAAATAAAAATCTAATTAAAAGCCTTTATTTAAGTCTGAAATAAAGCTGCAAACTAATTGTTTCTACATTTAAAAATGATTATTGTGAGGGAAATTAAGAGTCTATTATGGTTATGTGCAAATACGTTTGCACACTGATTTTTGACCTTGCAACTATCTAATATCCGTTTTGGTGAAAGGACGTTTAGAGTTATTTCTAAGCCATACATGAAAGAAAACGGAAAAAAAGGAAGGCCTTCACCTAAAAAAAATTATTACATTAGGCACTGACTTTTGTATAACTGCGATCTTGTACTCACTGTGCAGAAACATGTCAAAGGCTATGTGGCTATGTTGTCCCAGAATGGACATGCCAAAATTGCATTCGAATTTAGTAATGGTGAGAGGCTTTAGGAAGATCAGCTAAGTCTCAGAAGTTACCTTGACAACTGAGAAAAGACAATCTGCAGAAGGTAAAAGAGTATGAAAAGAATATTTTGCTGAAATTGATAGGGAAGTTTTGGGATGACAGTAGGTATGCTGATGATTCATGTCTTGGATGAGTAGATTCTTAGAAACCACATTTGTGAATTGTGAGAGATGTGGATATCATATGAATTGAAAAAATAGACGCGGAGAAGAATGTGAATTATTTTAAACATTGTACACAGTATGTTCCTGGAGGAATTACCGTATTTTGTCGGTGTATAAGACGTACCCCTCTTTTTTATGTACATTTTTGAAGGATAAAACTTTATTACTGATCATTATAAGGAATTTACAGAATTTTAAATATAAAGTAATACAAATACAAAGTAATACTTTCTGAAAATACCCAATCTATCTGGGAAAGAACACCTTTCAACCTCCTCCGTCAAAACCCAGACACTCATCTCCAAAGCTAAATGAAGAGTCACTTGAAAAGTCTTTTAAATTAGATCTGAGTCCTCATACAACAAATTGTCCTCTGTACCATCCAGTGCATTACTAATTCCACACTTTTTAAATGATTTAACCACGGTCTCTGCTTTCACAGCATCCCATGAAGCTTTGAAACATTCTCAAACAACGTATCGACGCAATATGTATCGACGTATAAGACGCACTTTGTTTTTCGGACCTAATTTCATAAGAAAAAAGTGCGTTTTATAAGCCGGCAAATACGGTACTCTAATTATAACAGATGACGAGAATTAGATACTTCACGAGAATGTCAGTAGACGCAAGGCTGTTTGTAGGCGAGATAAGTATTCAGGATCCACCTCAAAATCCACAAAATTTTCTGCCGTACATTTGAACGGAATTTCAGAGGAAAGAGTAGAAGACGTTACGATCAGCTGAATCTTACAATCGGTTGTTGTAAATTGTTATTATCGGCCGAATATTAAATAATGAGGTACTTTCCTAGAGGATGGACTACCTTCGTAACGCCTGTGGAGAAAACTGCGCATAATGGAAGATTCACCAAGCAGCTGTATTTCGTTAAGTTAATGAAGACCCGGTCCATTTGTTCAAATATAGGTAAGTTACAGGAACAATTTTTTTGAGAAGTTCGTAGCGCTTTCCCCACCGCGAATTCGTTGGTTACTTCAACAGGTTACTAATTCATACATCCATTACACGAATTCCTGCAGGGGCAAGATACGATAACGCATAAGATCTTTGCAATAGGCCGTAAACTTCTTCCACAAAATTGGAAAGGAATTTTGCCGGCGGGAATTGGAAAAGTTATCAAATCGATTGTAGCAGGTGTTTAGGATGACGAAAGTATTGTAGGTTAAGAGCCAATAAATGCACTCTAAAACATAATAGATTTCTTTTATTTAATACCATAAGAAAATTTACGCACACCTAAAAATGATTTTCCATTAAGAGTAACAAAAAAGTTTAAATTTATTTCACTGGTGGGTCCAAATAAAGTTCTTAATCATAGAAAATCATGGACCTGATATCAAATCCCTACATTGTACTTTTTTACAAATCAATATTCTTTGTTCTTATGTCGCAATAATTTAAAAAATGAAGGTAACACCTTTAACAACATAAAGAGAGCAACACTGAGACAGAAGATGTAGCTACCATCTTACAGCCGTAACTACAGTCAAATATCAAATTTGAATCTGCGTTGTGAGAATGAAAATAGAATACAGTTTTGATATCGGCAAGACCCAAGAGAACTCGGATTAATATTAACTAATTAGATATTCAAAAACTTTAAATTTTCCTGCTTATTTCGTGACAAAAATTAATAAGCACCTTCAATTTTTTTTTTCAATAAAATTTCTTAAATAAAGTTAATTTTTTCTGTGACCCTGAATACGCAGGTATGTTTTTAAAATATATTACACAAAATATGAAAGAATTGTTAACAGAAGGCTGCCAGAATTGTCAGTTATTTAATTTTGAATAAAGCTTTTGTAATTTTATCATCAGTTTTAGCAAGCTATATAATAATTACAAGGCACAGCATTAGATACATGAATTATATTGGATAATTTAAGGTATAAATAAAAATTTACATACGTTTCCAAAAACCGATTCCAGTTAGAGCGCACAAAATTCCACGTTAAAGAACGACCATTGAGATTACGAGCAGAATAAGCAATTGCCAGAAACATGTCTTGAGGCCTTATTTTATCTTTATCCATAGAATAATTTAAATACCTGTAAGAAAATAACATGAAAAAAACTACAATAATATTTGCAAGTTTTATAGATACATAACCAAAGCTTTATAACAAATGCGAACCACAGAACTTATCCTATCCATTTTTTGATGTAATATATATATTAATGCTCTTCTCTATAAAGTCTCTAGCCACTTTAAATTGCGTTTAACTGCTTTCATTAGCCTGATTCTTACTCTTTGTAAATATTCTATCGAATAATATAACGATGATAATTTAAGCAAACTAGATGTGAGAGAATATGTACATATTCTAGGCATGAAGTTGCACTGGAAATTTAGAGTTTATAAGATAGACGTGTCACGTTAACTGATAACAGTTGGTCAACTGGATTTTCTTGAAACCTTTGTATTCATAAAAATTTATTTCCTTTAAAGGCTGACATAAATTTCAATTTAGTTCTTCTCACCACTTTCAAAATTTAATATCTTATCCTTTTTCACTTTGCTTTAATTCGCTCATTGGATGTCATATGAAACAGTTGTAACTTCTCCCACCTCTGCAAAATGAATTTTGTTTTTCCCTGAAGAAAAGAGATCCATTTCTGATTCCCTCGAAATAAATGGATTTCTATCGAAGATTTATTCTAATCTAAGGTTGTTTTTAGCCTAATGTTAAACCATAATGCCATTATTACAGCCATAGTCAATTCGTAAAAATTAAAACTGTAAACAAAATGTTAACTTTACATATAAGTGCATTTATGTTGTTTGTAGAGACACGATATTAAAATATGTATATTACACATAGCAATTGAGATACATTGCCGAAACGTGCCTATGGTATTAACTAAATTGGAGATTTCTTACACCTTTTCCCTTGATAAGTCTGTACGAAACCTCGAATTGAGCTAATTGACCCTTTATTGCAATTATCTGTATATAATTTCTTTGTCTTTAAAATGATTTTGATTGTTAGCGAACAAAATGTGCTGATGTTTTTTAGGTTTTTAAAAAATACGTTTTAATCTTTTCAGATTTCCAATTTTTTGTAGTTTACATAATTTAATAGTAATTACAGTAGGTTTTTTTGCCTTAAATTTAACTGCTTTAGTATTGTATAATTGTTTATACTTGGTGTTACTTGTTTACTTTGGAATTGCAGTATCAAATTAACTTTAAAGCAATAGCGAATTTTTAACCTTCCTCTTCTTTGCAATTGATTGTTACATATAGCAACAGCATTTAATATTAATAACGAATTTTGAAACTTTTTAGAGTTGATGCAATACTTAAATTCAGTGCACTTCATAGGTCACGAAGAATTTTATAAACCTCGGTAACTGTAGTCCTTATATGTAAAATAAATGTATTATTAAAACTTAATAAAACATTATTTCAATAAAAGAATATTTACTATTTGTTAAATACATCCAAATAATAAAATTCAACTTACAGATTTAATTGTGATGCATTACGAGTACTTCCTAAAGCAGCTAAAAGTAGGTATTGTTCAGAAGGAACTTGTGTTTCTTGATATTGTCTCCAGCAGAACTCCCACTCTTCTTTGCCACCATACATAACAGCAGCATTATACACAGCACTACGCAAGTTGGGCGGCACTCTGACAATTTCAATTTTTTAAAATAAGCAGGAGTGAAAAAATAAATAAAATAACACTACAGGATATACGGTGGATAAATTTAAAACATTAAAAAGGTTATCTTATCATTTTTAATATCATAGGTAATTTTTTAATATCATTACAAGCAAAAATGTCTGTGAAAGTTTTTAATGTATATAAAATTTTAAATGCATCCATGTAATGAGTAAGTATAAATTCAAACAATCTTGAGCACGTTTTCAAACATTTTAAATACAAGTATGCAAGTCAACTTTAACTAATAGCAATAAAATCGTTGTTAATGTATCATTTTTAGTCATTAAAATTGAAAACTATTGGGAATATTAAATTTCGTTTTAAAATACAAGTATAACGGCAAATAAAATGCGTGATTAAGTTACAGATTATAATTAAGTGGATTAAAATGTTTTTCTTTATGAGATTATTATTTCAGTGCCTAAAAGGAACAATTATGATTGGAAGTTTTGATAAATGTTTGAAAGAGACTGAAAAGAAAATTACACATCAATAAAAGTTCAACAATCCGCATCCCACTATTCTGCAAAACGATAATCTGCCATCCTTTTCATTCCTGATAAAAGATGGAGCTGCTACTAATAATATCTCGTTCGAAAGCATTCTGAAAGGCTTTCCATCAGCTGCTTAGCGTTTTAATGCCATTTTTCAGTTAATATTTCTTTAAAGAAATTTATTTATATTTGGTTGCATATCGGTAAACCACATGCATGTGCTAAATCTGGAAAAGCTTAGTAATGATCTGTTATCTCATCCAATAACATATAAGAAAAATGAGAGAAATGAAAGTGAGATATCACTACATTTGGTGGCCTTTTTCAATATTCTTTAAAATGCTGCATTATTCAGGTAATTTACATTTATTTCCCATTTTTGTAATTCATTTTTATATTCGCGTCATAGACGAATTCTAAATAAACTAAACTGAGTAAACAGATTACTGTTCTATCCTGTGTGCTTTTTAAAATTTTCCGTAGAATTATTTCAGTATTAAAGGAAACACATTTGCATAATTATGGCTTTTTGCTTTTTTTTCCATCCTATGTGTACATGTTATGTATTAAAGCGCTTCCTTCTAAGCTTGAAAAGCACTAAGACTTCGCAATGATTTTTTTGTATTTTGCTTTGCTTTCAAAATATAATTTTCTTCGTCACTAAAGGCTGTGCAATTGTTAAGCTCTAAATCATTAGAACACAGTTTCTTAGTGGTTATTTCTCACTTCTAGACCACTTCAGTCTAAAATTAAGATGATAATCAGGATTTAAGAAGAGTCTTATTTATATCAATATGAAAACGAACTTCAATACTTCTAAAGAGGCTTATTAATGCGTGTCAATCCCGTGTCAGCAATGAATATAAGACTAAGCTAATTTTCTGTTTTAGAGGGAGAGTTGTTTATTACTCAAATCTTTACTTAGTTCCTATCTTAAAGTTTACATCTTGCTCTATATATGCATTAGAAGAACTAACTAACCTAAAGAATACAATATTTATCACGACTGATAATATGCAAATTAATTAACACATGTATAAAATAATATTTTAGCCGTCTTTACTTTACACCGTTCTGCATCCAGTCTTGAAATATTTGCTTTGCTCTAGATATAGTTTGTTCATCCCCATACAGTACCGATGTTGCCAAAATGATGGATCGCAGTTTTCTGGAAGAAATTAAAAATATGTAACAAAAATTTGAGAATGAGACATGAGGAAAGAAATAAAATAAAGAAATAAAAGAATTACTTATATTACTAAAGAATTATTTTTTAATACTGACTAAAGAATAATTAAGGAAATAAAAGAACTACTTTTGCATGAGGCTCCCTTCATCTTCCCATCCTAGTACATTGATGGCAGGTTTTAACAATTTCACAACATATTTCTGAAAGGCAGTGTATACATTGGTTTAAACATTTTAATTATTTTAATTAAGAAACAATAACAAAACAAATTCCTGCTTAATTTATGATTTTATGTTTATTATCAATGATCACTCCATTTATAGCTTAGTACCATTACTCAGATTAATGATATTAGAATTGAGAAAAGTAAATATGAGTGATTCAAACATTCGAATGATGAAACGATTTTTTTGAAAAACGATTTTTTTCGGATACTTCGCCATTTGAGCCTTTCGAATCCTGAATCAAAATTTGCTAAATGATTTATTCAAAACTTTGCAAAGTTTAATTTCATTCAGTTTAAGGTTTATTAAAAAATAGTGCAATTGTAACAATGTTAATGATACCTGGATCATAAAATTTCATATCTATATCATAAAATATCAGTTAACATTTTTTCGGCTTGACTTGCCACAGCGACCTTTCATATACGCTTAAAATAAACAAGTATTTGATTTTTTTTAAATCTCCTTGAAAGAGTTTAACATTCAATGTTTGCTGATTTCCTATTTTATATCTTGAAATACACATATCTATCTCTACATTGGCTATGAAGAAAAAAGAAGTAAATTGTAAGAAATTGAGTGAAACAATTTAAAAATAAATTTAGCTGTTCCTCGAATGTAGTTTTTTCGACTTATATTGAGAACACAAACATCGGGATTCAAGCCACTTAAATATGAAAGTGGTATTAATTTACTTTCGTTTCTACCTACTTAATAACTTTAGGTGTATTTTAAAAAACTGTGTTCTTAAACGTTTTTCTTTAGTTACCAATTTCGTTTTAGTTAAGAAGCTTTACATTAAGTAAAGTGCTTTCTTATTCTTATAAGAATGATTAGAAAGATCTTGTTTTTGAAACATTGGAGAGATTCTGCATTCAATAGATCGGACAGAACATGTTGGCTGGGGAATGCTGCACATCTAGAGGAATAGCTGGTTATTAGAATATACATGTTTAAGACTTTAGCAAGTTGAAAAACATGTACAAGGTTGTTCGCGCATTTTTAAGACAATTTTCATTGCATTTAAAGAAATAATTTGCCTAAATTTTTGTGATGTAAATGATAACGCGTATTTTTTCTTATTTTTCTGCACCGTGATTTACAAGACAGTAAAACCTTTGTAGCATCAGAAGAGGCATTTTATCTCATTCCTCTTGAGTAGCTTTCCAAAGTCCAAGGAGGGTTGTTGATCGAGGTTTGGTCAGTCCCCTTTTTAAATGTCCAAAATGCATGAATGATACAGCAAGAGATTTAGTAGGAATATGAGTGAAGGGTTTAGCCTTAATACCCGTTTCTTGTTCCATTTGTTCCAGGAAATTAACAGTGGATTTTCATGTCTGGCTTTTTGCTTTGTCTTGATGCAGTTCCATTGCTTGATGGTTCTGTGTGTACAGAATAGTATTTCATATTTGAAAACTGGGTATAAAACATGTTTCTAATAATACGTAAAGTTCCTCTTAACATATCCCTCCACTCTCTTTATTTTTAATTTGCCGTTATACGAAAAACCAGCAACAATCATAAATCCATTTGAAAAACTTTCTTTAGATTCTTTGAACCATGTTTTAAGATTTTTTCTCCCCTTTGATGATAATTAATGGATCGCCTTTTATTGTAGTTTTTTAAATATACCCAAGAGTCATGTATTGTGACAATATTTTTCCGTTTTTGTTCGGATATATGTTTTATGTAAAGAATTCTACAGCGCGTTCTGCATTCGGCGCTACATTGTGGAGAAAAACGATGCATATTATGTGTTTTCACCTTTTTAAGATTTAGATCAACATTAAAAACTTCGTTTACATTTGACATGGAATAGTTTAAGGATTTTGAAACTGTCTTTTGACTTGGCAGACTTTTTTTAATATTAAATATCTTACCTCTGCAACTTTCGGAACATTCATGTTTTCATTGGATACGCATTTAGAACAATTTTTCCACATGAAGCTAAAATTTTATTTTTTGTTTTCCTTTTTTATGTATAATATTACCTATCGTAGCTTATGATATCGCAAAAGCATGCGTTTCAGAGCGTTAATTATTAATAAGATCCAAATAATTTTCTTTGGATAGAGCAAACGTTTGTTTTAACGTTTTGTGTCTTACTGTTTTTTATTAAATACCATGTTCTTCGCTCTTAACCCGGCGGAATTGTTTTAACGTTTTGTGTCTTACTGTTTTTTATTAAATACCATGTTCTTCGCTCTTAACCCGGCGGAAGTCGCACCAAGAAAACTTACTAGAGTGGGCGCGTGGGGTATCACATACCCCAATGTTTAAAATACAATAAAAATAGTATTATTTAGTTTCAAAACTTTTTTTTTGTTCTCGTGCATTATAAATAAGTGAATAATAATTGGGTTTCAAAAAATTGATTTCCGAAATAATCTTAAAAATTAAGATAAATGAAAATAATAAACATCATGTTTCTAAGTTTCATTGCATCTCTAATACACTATGCTTATTTCATTTCTTCACACTTTGTACGAAATACATTCATGTGTTCTTGGCACAGAATGTTTTCACATTTTAAACATTGCATTCACGTTCTTCTGTCCTTGGCGAGAGGGCAAAAAATTTAACACATCTTTCATACTTAGTTGTTTCGAATTTCATGTATTCGTTTTAATTCTTCGTCGAAACTTCTGCTTTTGTTTTGCATGCAGTACGTCAATTTCTTGGAAAAGTATTAATCTCTGATCTTTGTTCAATACTTTTCTTCATTAATTGTAATGCTAAGTCCTTCAAAAACAGACTCTGTTCTTGTTGGTGGATTAGCAGTTGAATTGTGATAACTCAAGCATTTATTATTACAGCAACATTCAGTGCAGGAAAGAAAATTACCATTGGCCACCTTCTTGTTATTCTGGCAATTGAATAATTGGCTGACATTCATCCCCCATATCCACTGCTCCTTTAGTCATATTATTAAAACATATATTCCTGACGTTTTATTTCTCCAATAGTATCATCTATAGTATGATCGTTATATAATGTTGAAAGCATAAGAACAGTTTTTCCTTTTTTAGGAACATCAGGAATTAATGTTTTATCTTTTTCGAATTCAAAACATTGTAGAAAATATTCTTAGTTTTATCTTCAGTTTCCGAAATGCAATCTTCATCGCTCTCAAATATTTCTAATAAATCTCATATGCGTTGCATCTCCAGTTCACAGGGACTCATTCTTTTTACCATAATGCAGTTAGAAATTTTTAAGAATTTAATGTCAAGTACTTTAAAATCACTTGCGAGTAGAAATATTTACTGTTACACTCTAGAAATAAATTTCTGAACTAAATATTCAGTCAGATTTTTCTGACTGAATATTTACACGGACAGGCGCGTGGGGTGTATCATACCCCAGTTCCAACAAAATACCGATAAATCTTTTTCTGAAACACACAGGCAAAGAAAAAGCGGTTCTGAAAGTCAACCACAACTAGAAAGTCAGCTACTGAAAGCAGCACAGAATTTCAGTTTCACAAGTTAGGAATATTCCACTTTTATGTAGGGTTGGGGTATGATACACCCACGTGCCTTCCCGTTGGTTAAACCACATAAAATTCAATTCAACGGCAATATCACAAAATATTTAAAAACAGTAAAACAGCATATCTTTAGAATTTCCGCCACACAGCCTCGCGCCCTAGACGTAAAAATGTTTCTCTTTCCGTACAGTGTTGCCATTGCTCAATTTGAAATTCCTGAGTTTGTTAATAAAAATTCGTTAAAGGTTTACAAAATTTTAAATCGATAATAAAACAAATTCCAAATTTGCGCATCGAGATGCCCATATGCGGGTGGAGACGTACGTTATTCAAAATTTGATGGCTCTAGTATCATATATACATTTATACATTTCTGCAGATTCTTCATTATTTAATTCCTTTACATATAATACAGGGCGATAATATTTAGTGGCAACAATTTGAAAAAAGATTCAGTCCTTTAAAGTTTTCGACGCAAAATGCCAAAAGTCAATTAATAGTTCTGGGCTAACGTACTTTTGGGCTAATAAATTTGTTTCATAGTAGCGACAGACAATATTTTAAAAAATTAACATTAAAAATACTGACAATGCTTAATCACGTGATTCAGAAATCAATTATGGAAGAATAAAAATGCTTAGACAAGTAAATAAAAAATACATCGACAAGCAAAGTAAATAAAAAAATGTTTTATTTAAAACTGATAAATCATTTTATTAATCGGACGGAGGAAAACAATTTATTGTATACTTTAATGGGAATACGAGATTGCATAATACTCTTTACAAAATCCATGTACAAATTTATATCGCGAAAAATAAAATAGCGGGGCATCCTTGATAAATTTAGAAAGATATATATCTTTTTATATAAGAAGTTTGTAAAGAAATTTATTTAATTTTTTGTTCTCGTAAAAATTATTTATTAAATTATTTTTCTAATTTTAGTCCATTAATGAGATTTATAAATTTAAAAACAAAAGCTTATTTTTAATAACTTAATTTTTTTAAAATTTTATTCTTACTAACACGCTATCAATCAAATTATTCAACTGAAAAATTGTTTTTCAGTATTGCCAAAACACTCTTTTACTTCCAACAATTCTGTTACCGATTTTTCTAAAAATTAGAAGTTACGTTAAAAAAATTTGATATGAATTTCATTAAAAGGATGGTGCAAACAATAAAGTTATGAAATTTTGTTTTGTGCATTAACCAAAGATATGAGCGAAAAATCGTTTCGATATTAAATTTTAAAACATCTAAATCAAATTTTGAAACGTTACTTCACCGCACAGTATTGTCATCCACAGTGCCTGTGTATGCAAATGTTGAACTTCATAGCCTGTCCGGAAATGCTTTAAACATCCACGAATATGCTTTGACCATCTTGATAACATAAACACCATGAGGAAATTAAGCTTATAAAAATGCGGCTAGTTTAAAAAAATTCTAGCAAGTCATGTAATTAATATTTTGTTTATCCTTCCTATTTTAACAGTGAGCGAAATGTTTGTTTTATAAGTTGAGAAAATTTCAAAACTTTATATCTCATACATTTTTAGATCTTGAAATTTTAAAATCATGGTCGTCAAACAGTGGAATAATGGAGGGAAATTTTCAAAAATTTTCAAAACATTTAAAAATTAATTTACAGTTGTCATACAAGCTTCATTCGAAAGATTTTTTATGCTGTATTAACTAGTACAAATAATAACATTCTTATATTTTTAGCTTGTTCGTTAAATGAAGATTATGCGCGAAAACTCATTTAAACATTAAATTCTAATTTTGATCCATAGCTTCTCCATATTACATTGTCATCAACAAACTCTGGCCGTTTTTTTAACATGTTGCCTGTTACCTCTATTTATTAAATATCATGTTCTTTGCACTTAAACCATAAAATTCAGTTCAAGAGCACAAAATATTTTTAAGTTGAGCATATCATTAAGAATTTTCGATACACGCACGATGAAGATAAAAATGTTTTTTTCTGTACAACATTGCCATTGCTCGCTTTAAAATCCTTGAGTTTATTACTCAAAAATTCGTTAAAGATTTACAAAATATGAAATCAATAATAAAACAAATTCCAAATTTCAAATTTGGGTCTCCACATGCCCATATTCGCAGTAGAATTACGTCATACAAAATTCGATGGCTGTATATACCGTTGTTTAATCACAAAGAGAGAAAAATACATACATTTAATGCAGATTTTTCATTATTTAATTTCCTCAAATATAATGCAGGACTCTTACATTTGGTGGTAACAGTTTGAAAAGTGAAACGGACATTTATAGTGAACCAACGCAAAATCGCAAAACGAAAACGATAGTCCTTCACGGACAAAGCCCCCTTGGACAAAGACGATATAAATTTAAATTGAGTTCTGTTTGGTTTCTTTATTCAATGAATGAGAAGAGAAAATTTGTTTCCTCTTGAATGTAAAGTAATATAGACTCGAATAATTTCGGTAGTGCTGAATTAGTGCTGAATACTTAAGTGTTCTTATGTCAACAGTAGGGCAATCTTTTAATAATTCTACCAAATGACTTTACCTCGCATTACTAATAGCATATATTAACTAAATGTCAGCCTCATATTTTGCTCTTATATGTTTTAGACTATTTTAATGTAAATAAGCTCGTCAAATGCATTGAATTAAGTGCAAACCTGTGGTGATAATAGCAGGACAAGCGACCTGAAAATATAGTCATTTTGCAGTGAGAAAATAAGAATGGAAGTATGAAATTGCTGATAAAATTTTAAAACACTTTCTTATAAGGAGCCGACTGCGATACCAAAGGTCTCGGGTTCGAATCCCGGAAAAGGCATGGTTGTAACTGTCCGTCCCTTCATAGGAGGTAACGGTGACCGCCTTTTTGGTGCCTCCACAATAAAAAGGCCACCACTTCTGTCCTGAGAAGTGACCATTGACGAATAGGCAAGCGCCTGCCGGCAATACATGATTGTCTGTACTTTAAACCTTACCAAAAGAGGCAAAGAGTAAATAAAAACTCACACACATACCTGGAATAATGAAAGAAAAGCAGGATTATCTTGCATGAGTACATTTATTTGTTCAAAACGAAGAACGGCTGATTGCCAAGGTGCATATTCGTCTTCTTTTCCTAAATAACGAGTTATATTAAAAGCAAGCACGGGGTCCAAAATTCCTGATCTAAAAATACACATTTAAATATGTTATAACATTGAAAATTATTAAAGGTAAAAACAAAGAGTTTTCAAAATTTCGTTATTTGTTGTAAATAAAATGAAATCAAAGCAAATTCTAGAAAACACGTTTAGGATTTTATATGAACAACAATGACAATATGCTAACACGTCGTACTCGAATGCTTCTGCTATTTCATAACATGTTGCAATAGATAATATGAAAAAGAAAACTGAAGAAGAATAATTGAATGCACTAGGAAATTTCTAAATGAAGCATTGCAAGACTCATCCAGTATTTATTGTTTTCATACTTCCTTTATTAGAATTTTTGATTCTGTATAAAACTCAGTTTTAGAAATTGTTATCAATTTAAGAACATTATAGCAAAGGTTCTCAACATTTTTCTGACCTTCTTATTATGCATCAAAAAAGATTTTAAATTCAAGTAGTGCAATCCAAATAATGTGCAAATTAGAAATTGAAAATATTTTATTTTATTATGCTATAAAGGGAATATACCTTTAAGATTTATCTTATTCATTAGAGTGTTATTATTTTAAGATTTATATTCTTATCGTCTTTATAGTTTGCAAAATGGTGATTTGTTTACGATTATTTAAGATTCTATATTGAGTTAGCGAATAAAATTAGCAACAATGCAAGCAACCTGTTGGTTTATTCCATGTGATATTTAACTTGCTGGCATCATTGGTCACAAAAAGCATTGGCGGGAACCAATATGTTTCAACTTCATTTGAAATTAAACGTTTTTCTAAACTTACTCTACTTTCCCACTGTAATTGTGATGACCTACAACAACAATGGTGGACTAGTGATTGACTCTAAATTATTTTCAATCTGTTGCTCAGTGGGAGTCGACAGCCTTAAAGAGTGTCGTTGTTCTTCAAAATAATTTCAGTTTAAATATCTATCTACTTCCCTATATTAGTGATAGAATGATTCACCCCAAAAGACCATTAACTTTTAAGTCTTCGATCCCCCAACAATTTTAACGGATACTGCTGTCATTCGAATTAAATTCTACAAATCTCCTTAATTTATTGCTCCACAGCACATCGGCGACCGTCTGACAACAATGACGATCAACATTATGTCACTATTCATGTTTGAAGGGAACCAGTATTTTTCATTCAATTTTAATTAAAAATGAATCTACAGTTACTGTACTGTCTTACACAGTGATATGTAGATTAAATTTTATTAACCCTCAACATGACTTTCAACTTGATGGGCGTACTTCGGTTTAGTTTTGATTCAAAATGTTATCAAAGTTGAATACACATCCCTACATTTGCGATCTATTTATTTATAAAAAATGATTGTTAACGTACAGGTACCGGCGATAGCTTGATGGATATCTTAAGCGTAATTTTGTTTTCATAGTTTATTTAATTTTAAATACAAAGAATTTTCAATATGTCCACTTAATACTTTCTATTTATTTCTGCAGCATCAATATAAAGGTATTTTAACGCTGTAGATTCCTTGCTTCCAACAAGGTAGTTTGTATTTAAAGTTTCTCCTGTCTTCGTTACTGCGACTTTATGAGATGTCAATGAACTTCGCGCTCATGGAGTGATGCATGGAGTTTGTCATTTGCACTGAGAATTTCGAAATAAGTCACCAGAGCGCTTTTATTTGTTACTTAACAATGCCCGATATCACCTGAAAGTGCAAGTTTTAAGTTTTATAAATACCACTATTGCTTAGTTTGCTCCCCTGTGCCTACATTTCCAGTTTTGTCAGATATTTTTTAATCATATTGCATAAAAGCATATAGTAACAAACTTAAAATTATTGTGGAATATAATTATTCAGGAGTGTGATAAGAAATATCGAAATGTCATCCTACATCATGCTAAAAGTTTCCTTCCTGCTTTTAAAGGAAACAACCAGGCTTTGCTGAAGAACAGAAAATCTTGAAATATCTTTTTTGTTAATTCCCTGAATTAAATTTAACCATATTTTAGTAAAAATTATTATGCAATGTTATTTAAAATATCCCTCCCATTTTTTATGTAAATATTTCCATTCGTTTTATTTTAATTTAAAATCATCTCCTTCATTTCATTTTAATTATATTTCATAACTAGTAAAGAATCAAATTGAAAGATTTTTCCGGCTAATAATATTACCTTGTAAGTGACAGAGCATCATCCAGTAGATTAGCCCGATCAGAAGGTGAAAAAGTCTAAAAGACACAAAGTAAGCAAAATGTAAATGCAGATCTCTCCTGAATAATGAATAAAAATTATTAGTTTTGAAATCATAAATGAATTTGTATACGTAAGAAATATATGCAGATACAAAACTTACATACACTATCTACTACATACGAAAACATTGCCTATTTACCTACATGAAAGAGATGTTCATAGTATATATAGCATGTCTATAAAGGATACGTATCAACATATGCACAGGACGATTCCGTACCATGTGCGCAAGGGTAGGTTACTCAAACGCAAACTGGAATCAGATAAAAATGCAAGGTCGAAAGAGCTATGCCACGAGACAGAGGGAATCGTTGGAGAACTTTGAAAAATGTCTGCTTAGAGAAGCCACCAGTCGAACCAGAGAGGTAGTAAGATGAAAGATTTCTCAAATGTGGACTCAGTAGATATACAGCTTCTGATTGCAATGTTTGAGACTCTGCACGACAGCGTTACCTGTTGAAGCATATTCCGGACATAAAAGGTTTTTATGGTTGCATTGAAGATCATATGAAAGGTGTTCTTCTAGATACGTTCCATGGACTTGGGCGAAATTCATGGACCCCCTGAAATCGAAAAATGGTGCTTCGATATGTCGAAGACACTGAACGCTCCCGTGCACGAGAAATCGCTACTCACGTTGGTTTTCACTAAACCGTCTGCAGTATCCTGAATTCGAATCATCTGCATCCATATCATAAGTAGCGCATACAACTACAGCAGTTTGATAATTATTCCAAAAAGGTTGCTCCTGCTGAACAGAATCCGCAGAAAAGTAAAGTGGACTCCATTGTTTTGATTTCCGTTTCTTATTCACAGTCAAGACGTACTTTACCAGGCAAAAATTTTACAATGCACATAACTCGATGTATGGGTGCTGGAAAGCTCCATTACTGCACAAAAAACATGGTTTGTCGTCCAACCCGTAGTCCAGCAATGTGTAGTGTGGGAGTGCACTGAAAAGGCCCATATCTCTTACCCAAACGTTTGGATGGAAGGTATTATTAGATTTTTGAAAACAGTCTTGCCCAAACTGTTAAATATCCAACTATATAATGAGACCCAGTTAATTTCAGCCCTGATACTAGAGAGTATTTAAATCTGAACACATTTGTGGAGAGTGAGGAGGATCATCTTTGGAGAGTGAGTGATCACACGTATTTGCCTACCGCGCCTATCCGAGAGACTCCTAGAATATTCCGAAATGTACGGTAATTCAATACGACGCAGATGACAGGTTTGGATTGAAGCTGGCGGCCGAAAATTCGAATTCTTTCTGTGACCTCTTTTAATATCGCATTGTTATATTCCGTGTAATAAAATAATCTTCTTCATTTACGTATTGCTATTTCATTTGGCGTGTTCTGTGCTTACTTGCACATGGCAATGGAGTCCCAGATCCTACACTGTAGTCTAATCCCAATTTGTTATTGAGTAAACTAACCCCTCCAGAAGTTTGTATTCAATTCAAAGTTTTGATTTGAAACCGGTAGTGCATAGTGAAATGGAAAATGTAAAATCAAAATCTTCTCCTCTATTTTGAATGCAGTGTTCAGTGGCAAATCATTCAATATTTTCATTGCTTGCTAAAATTGATTATTAATTTTACTCCATTTTTTTAAAGTATTGCTTTCGTATAAAGAAATTGAAACTTTTTTTTTTGCTAATATTTCAGTTTAATTTAGAATATATGTAAACGTATCTAACTATTTAAAAAGATATATAACATTGGAGATAATTTCTTTTTACAAATAAACAATACAAAATTTGTTTACTTTAATTTGCAATTTTATGGTTGTTTTTGTACGTGAAACATAATCAAGAGCAAAGAAGAGCATTTACCCAATAGGTTTTCAAATTTTAATTTTAAAGAATTTAGAAAATTATACTTCTTTTAAAAGTAACGTGATTCTTGGGCTTCAAAATATAAAATAGAGCGAAAAAATTTATCATCATAAAATGAACTCTCCCTCTAAACACAACAGTTTTAATGCCATGCTATATCTTCTTTATCGTAGTTACAAGATCTCTCAAAATCTCAATTTCGTTTGCACATCCTTTTTATCTTTTTTTTAATGAAATTTACTTTCAAGCATTTCTCAGATACTAATAATTGAGACCCATTTCCAAACACTAATTTTTTAAACCTTAGGCATCTTTTAACATATTCTGAATAAATTAAGAGAACTTAATTTCATTTTCAAGGAAAATGTATCTTCATTAGAGAAACAAAATATATTACGTTTCCATAGCTTATTTTCGATTACAACGTAATAATTGTTTTTAATTTAATTTTCGTAAAATAACAGAAAAACCTAATTAGTTGGCGATTTAGAATTTTTTGAAGTTTTAGGCATTCAAAAAATTCAGACAACTTTACTTAATGTTATTAATATCCATCCAGTTTTCCAGAATATATTAAGAGTATTTTCCTCATAAATTTTATTCCCTCATTTCTCTTTACAATGATGTATTTCACCGAAACATTTACTTCTGCTTTTTCCATTTCAACCATTCAAATAATGTATTCCATGCAAATGATCAAAATAATTTTGCTGCTAACAGAACAGGTACTCATATCTGTGGCTTTGGCAATGCAGAGTGGCATACTTCTTTTCCATATATCGTTCGTGTAATTCTAAAACCTCTGGGAATAAGTAATCAAGTGTTATTTTAAAATAATTTAAACAAATTGCGGATGTCTCAGCCAAGAATTTCTTTTAAAATCAACATTTAAAATTTTTACATTTTATATATCTCTATTACATAGAATCAAGTAAAGATGCTTTACCTTATGATTAGAATGCAGCACATCAGTCAGCTTTTTCCATAAGTCATTATCGTACATAACTCTGTAAAAACCAGTTTGTTTGAAATTTACTTTGAGCCACTTTGCTTCAGCGGGTAAAACGAATTCACCTAATGAAATTTTTCATCAAAAACATACATTAAAAATTAATTTAATTGCTTAATTATTTTAGTTGCGCAAAATAATAATAATAATAATAATAATAACTACAGCAAAGACGTAAATTTTGGAAATTTCATCGGGATTTTTGGTTAAATAATATTCGAAAACTTTACTATTATTATTTCACTTAGACAAAGTAGAGTTTGAGGTAAAAAATAAAATGTAGCTAATATAATTTCTCCCTAACAAAAACAAATTAGGTATAAGAAACAGTTACGGCTATTGAAGTCTGCTTAAATACTACATATCTTGCTTAAATCTACATATCATTTTCAATGTTATTTGAAAAAAATTGTAAATATCCTGTTGAAGGACTGAAAATTTAAGCCCCATAATTCTTTTTATCATTCATACATATCATGAATTCGACATGTATGAATTAAAATTTGAAAACCAACAATATTAAAATTTAATTAGTGGTCAAAAATGCATAGAGATAAGTAATATTTCTTAAAAGCGCCAAAATATTTATAGATTTAATGTGATACCTGCATTAATCAATCAAATATTTTTTTCTACATAGATATAATCCATCATGATTACCTCAATATATCATACACAATAAAATTCCTGAGACCATAACTGTTTATATCATCATTAAGTTACAAAATTAACTTTGTCAAAAATGCCTAGAAGAAATTATAGTAAGAAGATAAGATACTATTATTTAAAGAAATTATACTAAAAGACTTAAATAAAAGACTTGAAGAAATTATACTAAAAGTGGTGTTCAAGTATTCGAGGCATATACTTGTTTCTTTTATTCATGATGTCTCAGGATTAATTTTAACATGGAATAGGAACTAGTAATAATCACATTTATGCATATTTCTCCATGTAACAATAAACATTTTCAAAACTCTTATGAAATCCAAAATTAGTTTAAATATAAGGTAAGCATGTGAGGGCCATTATTTAATTCAAGTGCTTAATTATTAAATCTAGCCAGATGTCTATTAGACGTGCATTACATTCAGATACGCATCACTACAAAGAATGTAGTTGAAATTATAGGTTTTTGAATATAAGTTTTCAAATTTTGATGTCTTGGTTTTACACTGAAAAGGACATTTTACCTATAACTAACAAAGACACTTAAAATAAATAAACCTCGCTTTTTGAGGAAGAATTCATTATTTTCAAAACTACGTTTGTGCTTTGAACGTCAATCATAACATAAAATGCACTTAGGTAACATCATTTTTATTCTGGAGTTCTATATTTGCATAAAAATTGTGCGTTGATCTACGTTTGCTTTTCTATGCCATAAGTTTCTATCCGAAAATCTCATAATTCTAACAATCATATCATGATGTTGATGGAATATATTATGATAATACATTAGTTATAATCATTTTAAGATTACAGTTTTGAATTTCTGTTTGTTATCCATGAATAAATGTAATCATATAAAATAATTATATTTCTCCCATTATTTCAAAGAATGTTTTTAGCATTTTGTCACTGTTTTTTAATTGAATCAGATCTGATATTACTTTGAAAGTATCATATTTAAAAGATTATGTAAATTATATCAGATCTTGCATTATTTTCAAAGTAGTATATTTGAAACAATGTCTTCATATACTTAAGCATTTTATTGAATAAATAATTTTTGCGTTTTCATTTAATGTACGGTTAGTGCACGTTTAGTGATTGGAGATAGTTTCATACCGTTAGACATATTGAATAAATAATTTTTGCGTTTTCATTTAATGTACGGTTAGTGCACGTTTAGTGATTGGAGATAGTTTCATACCGTTAGACATATTGAATAAATAATTTTTGCGTTTTCATTTAATGTACGGTTAGTGCACGTTTAGTGATTGGAGATAGTTTCATACCGTTAGACATATTTAACCAGTACGTATTCTGTGTATTTGAGAGATCAGTGACGTACGTGACAGGAACAAACCACTTGTAGCCATATGGAGACACGTCTGAAGACGAGGCATCATCGGATTCAGGTGCTTTAAGCAGGTATCTTTCTTGTTTTACCTTTACTGTAGGATGTTCAAGTGTAACAGTAATGAGAGGATAGCCTTTTTGTCGCGTCCATGTATCCATAACCTGTGACACATTTATGTGTGACACATTTCACCTAAAATCAAAGCGAAAAGGTAAATTATTCTAAATTAAGTACAGGATGTAGCAATATTAACTGAAAATAAACAGTACGGTTTATAAATAACGATAAAGGAATGATATCATCTAAGGGACAGTTTATAAATTAAGGTGAAACTCTTCTTAAGTAGAACAATGATTAGATAACCTTAAGATTGTATGGTCCTAAATGTTTTTATAAACGAAAAAGAAAGGACCCAAATTTTATAATTCAGTTTTTTAAAGATATGGTTTGTAAGAAAAGTTAAAGAAAAGGAAACTCAACTAAAGACTTTTGTAATCATCAGAGATAGTTAACTCGAATTTTAAACTAGAAGAGAGTAATTAAAGAAACATTAAAACGCAAATGAAGTTCAAAAGAACGGGAATAAATAAAGTAAGTAAACACCCGCAAAAAGAAAACTTTTATAGAATATTGCAATTGAGTACCAGAAGTTAAATTTTAAAATAATTTTAAGATAAGGAAGTCAGAATAGTAAAAGAAAAAGAATCAAAATTCTTTAAAGCAAACACTAGAGGATGGGATGCCTGAGAACTACAAATTTAACAATGGGATCAAAATCAGAATTTTATTATTACAGTAGTTACGAGAAAATTTCATAAAAGCCGAAGTCTATTTTGAATGCCTTTTATCAAAACAGATTACTATACTTCAGTAAATGCATTCCACAGGTCTTCAGTACGTGCGTTCTGAAAACTATATTTTTTCAAGTAATATGACAATCCTTTTTGCAAAGTTTCCATACCAACGGAATCTGCTAACATGTTTAGTATTGCAGCACCCTGTACAAATAAAATGAATGACTTATGAACTCCAATTGCATAATGGAAAAAAAAAAAAAAAAAGAAAAAGAAAAAAAAAGAAAGAAAGAATTTACTAAAACTAATATCCTTTGTTATATGTACAAAAATTTTAAAATCTTAAATAAAGTTAAAATTTAGAGTAACTGTGATAGTTCATTCTGTTAGTTTAAATTCAAAATTTTATGTAATATGATAGTATTTTCGCAGAACCTTCTAATTTTCAAGGCTCTTTAATTTAAATTAAACGCCCACATCCGGACTAGTTTCGATGGTTTTACCGAACCATCATCTTCAGCTGCAAAACCGTTAAATGAACAAGATAGGAAATAATGTTTAGATAAGATAAGAAAGCCTGGACAAGAATAAGCAAGTGGCGCCATCTTTTGGCGAAACCAGAACTAAAACATAATTTCTCTAAAAGCCGAAGGCAAATTTGGATTGGAATTAGGATCGTTAACTAGAACAGAAAGATTTTTATGAATGTGAAATGCCTCTAGAAAATCCAGTTCTCCAATGGAAGATGTTTTTGAATAATTTTGGCAGCAGAAAAATTGAAAGTGTGATTTTCGGACCAACAATGTTGAGCAAACAGAAGACTTCTGTGTTCCTTTTTCTAACATATGCCTTATGTTCTTTGACGCGAAATTTTAAGGCTCTCTTAGTTTGGCCCAATGTAAATTAAACCGCACTGGCAAGGAATCCTATAAATACCCCAGGAATTCATATCCGGAATGGGGTCCTTGAGTATAGAAGTTGGAATTTTATTGATGGGAGAGTAAACAACCGAAAGTTAAATTTCTGCAAAATATGTGCAACTTTATAGCTAATTGATGGAAAGAAGGGAATGACAACAGAATTTTTATAATCTCCTAAAATAAGAGTGTGGCTTTTAGTGTGTTGAGATGAGAATTTTTTAACTGCTTGATTAATAATGTTGGGTGAAAAGCCCCTGTCAATAGCTATTGCTTTTAAATAATTTAATTCTTCATCAAGGGCTAGTTTGGAGGAGCAAACTTGAAGAGCACGGAAAACATAGGAATAAAATGAAGCTAACTTTTGTTTAGTCGGATGACATGATTTAAAGTGTGGTGGAAGGCAAACCGATGAAGGTTTACGGTAAACTGTAGTACTGAAGTGGATGTGTTACGTGTGACCAGAATGTCGAGAAACGGAAGAGAATTGCAAGTCTCAAGTTCAAAAGTGAACTGAATAGCAGGATCAATGTAAATTAACGCTGATTTTTGTTGTTTGACTTCTGAATTAGTATTTATTCGGCGTGTTATTGTGTCTTAAACTTAATCATTCTTAACACATTTCAGAAAAAGTGCATTGTAAAACAAGTTAAAGGCTGATACGTTAGCGTCATTAACTTTGAAAAAATGCAACATTTCTAAGATGAAATTCCGATCAGTTTGAGCTAGTTTTGTTTAGCTTTGTTTTAATTAGTTAGTATTAAGTTTCGGTTCCTAAATTTAAAATCATTTATTAGCTGAAATGTTACATAAGTGCCTACATCATTAGCGTTACGCAAGAATCAAATGATAAGAGATTAAGTTTAAAATGAAGCAGTTTAATAAGTTCATTATAAAATGTTACTATTTTTGAGAGCCAAGAGACTGTTGCAAATTAAAAGTATTAGTTTGATTTCCAAATTTTTACCTTACACACAAACTCACACTTATCTGTATCTATCTATCTCTCTATCTATTTATGTACCTATCTATATGCGTATATATATATATATATATATATGAAAATGGTCTATATAATTTATTTGCCCTATGCTTCTTTCCTCTTTTCCTCAGATAGGCTAATCTGTTTAAAAATAATTTGTATATACATATATATATATGTGTGTGCGTGTGTGTGTATGTGTGATAAAATCAAACTTAGAAGTAAAGACTAGCAGAAATTTCGATGGGGTAGAAGTGTTGATCCATAATGAATAGGAAATTGGAGCTGAAGGCAGATTAAATATTAATTTTATTTCAGTAAACATGTTGCGTCTCACAAACAAGTTGGCACATTAATTGTGCCTATTCCAAGAGGTTTACATTTTTGATAACTTTGCAGCAAGAAGCAAGCAGCAGGCAGACAACAGTCCTGCTAGGCCAAAGCGTAGGAAGCAAGTGCGTTATATTCAAGATGAAATCTTAATTCCGACTGAGATAGTTTTGGTTCTCAATGCATTTTGATTGGATCGTTAATACTGCTATAAAATTACTATTGGCTGTTAGTTATAGTTCCATTTACATCATCAAAATTACGTAAGAATTATATGACATGGATTAATTTAGAAATGACGCAGTGCAGAAAGAGAGGTTACTATTTTTAGAATTGAGAAGGTAACTTTACGTTGCTAATTTAATCTTTCACATATTCTTATTTTTCTTACATATACATATTTACTATTTTCATCAAGCTGAAAACTCTGTATATATAATGGTAATATAAAATAACAGATTGCGAAAGAAAAATTTAAAAAGACATGCATAATTTGTAAAAGGCAATTAGCATTTAGTTAATATGAATTTAAAAATAGACTCATATTAGGAATATATTAGAAGTTACTGAAGCCAATTTTCTATAAATAAAGCATATCACGTAAATGAAACGTAATTAATTAATAATTACGTAAATGCAAATTCTGGTGCACAACATGAATTTACTAAGTACACAAGGACTAAAGAAAATTTCTGAATACACAGACTCTGCAAATTTTTAAATTGCAATTTGACGGTTATAAAAATGTATCATTAAAGTCAAACTCTGATTTACATGGTTTATTGATCGCTTATTTTGAAATTAATATACTCTTTCTGAAGACCGCCGTATAAGTTTTCTTAATTCGTTTTTGTTACAATTTTGCATGCAATATGTATATATACTATACCTAAATATTCTTATAATATACTTATTACCCTTAAATACAGACCTTTCTATAAGCTATGATGTCAAATGATGCCTGAATTTCGAGAGGATCCGCAGCTTCAGTAACTATTGGATGAGAATTTAGAAGACTATCTAAGGTTAGGCCATGCTGAGTAACGACAACAGGAAACTCATCCATCTGTCACAGAAGAAATAAAACAACTTTTACAGTATGGTAAAGGGATTATTGGAACATTACAGTATGGTAAAGGGATTATTGGAATTGGCAATAACAAATTTTCGCAATGAATATTTTGTAAGATTGAAATGGGTAAGTGACAGATTTATATTTTCAGACGCTAGTTAAATTCGAAACGTATAAGTATGAAACAAAAGTGTGAGAACAAAATACAGTTAGCAACAGTAAATTACTAACTACCTTAATTAAATTTAAAAAAAAAATACATGGCTTATTTGTATGGAAATACGCAAAATTTGTTAACGCAATTTTATTTAGAAATTGGTGTTTTAAATATTTCTTTGATAACCTGAAAATTGTAAGCAAAAGCCTTTTTGTTACATGGTTCTGTGTCATGCTAAAGAACGAATGGAAGTCAAACGTCCAGAAAAATGTGATTTTAGATGGGATAATAAGTTACTTGGTCGTTTTAACTACAATACAAATTTAGAAAAAGTCGCCTTGTTTTCAAAAACACTGAAAAGCTGAAGTTGTTTTTTGAATTTCTCAATTATAAGACTGTTCGACAACTTGAACCTGCTAATGCTACATTTCCCAAGCTCTAGATTTGGAACTGGCACTGGTTAGTCTATCTTCTTAACAACTTTACGTTCAAGGTATTCGTTAACTAACTCGGCCAAATGTCGACTAATGTTTGCAGATATAAAACTGAAGTAAGAGTTAAAAACCTTTCCTTATACAAAAGGCTCCGAACGGGTTGGTATTGACCTATTCGGGTCTGTGAAATTTTAAAGAAAGTCAATGATGATGAAGGGGTCGATAGCCTAATATGATCGGCTTAAGAAGATTCCATTAATTATAAAAAAGGTATTAATAGAACTGACATGTAATTCTTTATTTATCTAAAGTTATATCACACAAAATCAAGTCTTATTCATAACGCATGGATAAGCTAAGTTTTGGAATTTAAAATCGTCTAAGAGAAGTATCCCCAAACAAAATTGCTACTAAGAAAACATTATTGACTTTTTCCTCCTCTTGCCTAATGAAAGCAGGCTTTAGTCAAGTCAATAATCTTTTACGGGAAACAAGCAGTAGGTTAAATGTTTTTGAACAACGTGATTGGACAAATTAAGATAAGCAGTTTTATGACAAATAATAAGAAAATAGTATCAGTATAGGAACAGCAATCATCGGATTAATTACGACTTCAAATAAAACTTTTGTGCAATTAGAATCTGTGATTTTGTTTCTGAAAACTTGATCCTATTTGCGAAACTAAAAATAATAATAATGCAAAAAGTAATAAAACATAAAGCTAAGAAACATTTTTCTCCAAATATTTCTGTACACATTCTTAGTCTTATTAGTATTTTAAAGTTATTTATGTGCAATTACTTGAGTTATGATTATTCTGTATGTCTGAGAATCCTTGTTTCAGGCCCTTATATGAAGGGCTATAAGATCTTACCCTTATTACTTAGAGAAGACAGGAAGACAAACACTTGGAAATAATGAATACCTTTCGGTGATTTTCTTTGGTGTTTGACGGGAAATAATGCATGCCGATAAATCATATCCCTATATGTTTAGTTTTCTGGAAAGTTCTGATGGCGATGAACAGATACCAGTTTACGTAACTACTTACCTTTCCTAACATTCTTCTAAATGATATTTCTGAGACAGTTTTAATAATATCATAATGTTTATTAATTCATAAACACACGGAGGGGCAAAAAATTTATGCTAATCCTAAAATTCGCTTATATCTCATTCATTTCCGTTCTCCATATTTGCATATTTGGTGAGTCCTATATTTTTAACTTCGGCACCTTCAGTTTAGCGTATACTTATTTTTACAGAATTGTGACTGATAATTATACTAAAAGCCATTTCTGAACTTTTCATTGATACTGTAGTCCAGAGTATATAAAACTAAAATTATTTTAAATTAATCTTTAATAGCACTAAAATAGCAAAAAATAAATAAATAAATAAATAAATAAAAATAAAAATAAAACTTTTTTTTTTACAGCAAGACAAATATGCATACTATGCGTTACCATTTTCCATTCTGGTCTTATATTGTCCAAAGCAATAGATTCCATAAAACTTGCAAAACCTTCATTCAGCCATAAGTCATTCCACCACTGCATAGTCACGAGATTACCGAACCACTGGAAACAAAAGCATCAACTCTTAATATGCCACTAACTTTTCAGTACATACAAAAAATTAATTAAATTGTTCTTGTAACTTCTTTCCTAAATTTCCTCCTTCATGTCAGATTAAATCATACATTTACAAATTATGCAATGACATTACAAGTACAATGTAGATGCTATCTTGTAATTATAATTACATTGTAATTGTATCAGATGATTTGAGTTGTACACCTAAAAAGTTAATTTATCAATGAACAAATTGCGATTAGGAAGCTATAATCGTAATTGTAATTGAAAATTTAAATAGAGCATTGCATATCCGAACTAGAACTAACTAGCAGCAGGTTTCGTAAGAAGGTGTTAAATAGTACGTAGGGATGGCCATCATTCTGTAAGAGAAATGTTATCATTACCTATCTGAAGTCATTCGGCTTTTAGTTTCTTTAAGTATTCCACTTTGTATTACGAAATAAATTACAAACTAATCCTTGATTATGAACCACATGTATTTTTTGCAAATAAATAAATGAAACACAGGAATTGGTTTTGGTTGCGTAACATAGAGGAAAATACAGATAACGTTGTTAAACAAAGGTGTTAAGCAAAACCGTGAGCTTGCGATGCGCCGACCACATTCATACATATTTGAATTATTGTGTCAAAATACACAAAAGTTATGCACATTTACGGTTTGAGGAAAATTCTGCTTTTCAGTTATAGGGTCAATTATTTAAAATTTGTTAGCATCTTCAGATTTCCTGTTGTGTTTTTTTAATAACTAGATGCACAGATCTAAACATGATATTCTTTTCATTCAGTTTATAAAAATATTTGTTGTGTTTAACTCCTCTAAATTTCATTAAATGTTTTATCCAAAAATTCAAATAATTTTTCATAGAGAAATGAAAATACTCATTAGTGCTATCTCATTCTCATTAAGATTAGACGTAGTTTACTCAGTTTAAGTCATTCACGTATATCCTTGGTTTAGTATTTGTCAACCTTTTAGCATTTGTGACCCAATTTTCAATCATAATATTCATCTTCCACCCTATTATACAATAATAATGTATTTCGAGTATTTTGGTGCTATAGCTACAATAAGATCTTAATTACACATGCCACCATATCGGACATTCTCGTAGTTTCGCAACAAGTTCTGACTTATCTCGAACGTTCTGAGACTTCTACGCGACTGTGATGCAAACTTGTATAAATGTTGCACATATCATTTTGTATAATTTTGTAGAAGTATATCCACATATCATTTTGTAGAAGTTTACTGGGATCCAAACCTCGGGATATAAGATCGTTCGGATTCTCCTTTGATGACACATGACGCCATTGATGACCATTAGTCAACTCTTGAATTGTTGCCACTCGATTTGCAATAAATGTCTTCAACTGGTAATGCTCCTTTTGTATCTATGAAAGCACGAACATGGAGTCACTCCACAGATAAACTTTGTTCACAGGAATCTCTAATGCAGATATTAAAACTTCTACAAAATGATAAGTCTAGCCACTCACAATCGAGTCTATCCTTCTGTCACTATAAAATCTGTCATAAATACGCATGGTTTAATTTATGAGTTGAAATTCACTTTATTAAATAATGGCAGTAGATTTATACATAGCAATGGATAAACTTTTAAGTGAACGTAAGCGAGAATTAGACGATAGTGAAGCATAAAAAAAATGCAGAGAGAGCACAGTTATCAAAATAAAATCAAGAACACTTAAATTTTGGATTTACCAGTACTGAAGTAAGTAAAGAAGAAAGGCCCTTGTGTGTCATTTGCTCAAACATTTTGGAACAGAGTGTATGAAATCTAATAAACTTAAAGGGCATTTGAAAACGCTTCATAATGAGTACGTTAACAAACACTAAGAATTCCTAAGAATTAAAATTAAAATCATATGAAAAACAAAATAAATTTTAAAACAAACTTTGTCTGTGAATGAAAACACTTTACTTGCCTCTTACAAAGCTTCATATAAAACAGCCAGATGTAAAATGCCTCACACCATGTTATGTAATTTGAAGAAAAAGGCTAGAGGGCGCTGTTGCTCGCTTAGTTGTAAGAGAATAAAGTTTGTTCATGTTCAAGGCGGCGGCCTAAGAATACGCTCTGTATATAGTAATTAAAATATTGTTTAAAATGTAAAAGTGTTCAAATTAGTAAACCCACTGAACCACCATCATCTGATTTGGAGATGCACATAATTATTAGATGGTGCATCGGCGTAAGGAATTAAGGCTTTGTGAAGATTTTAGGTGTTCGATCCAAGTGTTTCGATTTCAATGGATATTTCATATTCAAGTGACAATGGAATTCCAAATAAAGGTAGGGAAATCTTAAATTAATTATTTAGTGATTATTTGTAGTACATTAGTAAGTATTTATTATTGCTGTCGTGGGTGTATTTAAATTAAATAAAATGGAAGAGAAGTTAGATAGATTGAAACGTAAACGTTCCACATTGAGATCGTCTGTTACTAGGTTAATTAAAGTGATTGAAGATAAATTAAAAATTGAAGGGAGGAAAATTCGATTAAAGAATTACGAGAATTGTTTGAATTATTAACCGAAAAGAAAAATAATTTGAGAACGCTTGATGATGAAATACAAGAGTTAATTGATGTTAACTTAATTGAAGAAGATTGTAGTATAAGCGAAGAATACAATGACAAATGTATAATTGCTTGTAGTCAAATTAAGCAGTTTCTAGGTGCGGTTACCGCAGTACCGCCAGCGAGGAATCCCCAAAGTTCTGATTTAAACCAGTCTAGTGGTAATGGAATTTTGCATGTAAGTTCCAGTTCTAGTGGGAGTAGTACGCTGAAATTACCAAAATTAATGATTGATAAATTTTGGGGAGACCCCAAACAATGGAATGAATTTTGGAATAGTTTCGAAAATTCGATACATAAAAACGAAACGCTTTCAAAAATACAAAAATTTGTATACTTAAAAACATTCTTAACGGGACAAGCTTCGAATGTTGTGTCAGGCTTTGAGTTAACAGAAAGTAATTATGATAGTTGTGTAGCATTACTAAAGGACAGATATGGTCGAAAAGACCTGATCATTAATTCATTCATGAATAAAATTCTCAATTTAGAAGCCTGTTAAAAATTCTGCTAACGTAAAGGCTTTACGTAAATTATATGACGAATTAGAAGTTTCGATTCGTAATTTGGAAACTTTAGAAGTAACTTCTGGCTCATATGGACATTTATTAATTCCAATATTATTAAAATTAATTCCGGACGATTTAGTTTTGGAATTTAATCGGCAAAGAGGATCGAAAGATAAAGTTGAAGTTTCGGAATTAACACAATTTATTAAAACGGAAATAGAATGCAGGGAAGTTTCAAATCTAGTATTAAGCGAAAGGAAAAATCCTGTGCCTCCGCGAGTCGATCAATCAAAATATGAAACTAGAAAATATGTAAAAAATACACCCACGGCTGCATTTCATACTGCAGTTAACCGAAAATGCATCTTTTGTGATAATTTGCACGAGTCATTTAAATGCGAAGTGAATGTTTCTGATAAATTAAAGAAACTAAGATCCGAAAACCGCTGCTTTTTTTTGTTTTAAAAAATTCCATACATCAGAAAGGTGCAGAAATAAAACTAAATGTAATAAATGTGGCGGTATGTATCACAATGAATCGATTTGTACTAATAAATCCCTTGTAAACAAAAAGTTGGAACAAGGTTATTCCAAAAATGAAACTGAATCTCTGACTTTGAATTCTGAGGAAAGAAATAAAGTTCAAAACTTAAAATTGATTGCTTCTGTTCCTCAAGGTGATAATAATAATGACTGTAATGCCAGGGAAATATTATTACAAACTTGTACAGTTTATGCTTGTTCTAAGTATAAATCAAAATTAACTAGATTAATTCTTGATCAAGGCAGTCACAGATCCTTTATAACGAAAAAATTGGCCGACCATTTAAAACTTACTCCAATCCGTTATGAAAGACTTTCTGTTTATTCATTTGGTGCGACGAAGGCAATGAATCATTCCTATCCGGTCGTTGAAATCGAAATTCAGAATTGGAAACAAAATAATAAAATAAAAATTGAATGTTTGATCTCGGATGTTATTTCCTCGGCGTCCATCAGTGTGCCTAGTAAACAAATTGCAGACTTCATGGAGCATATGGGGTTGCAGATCGCCGATTGCGCAAGAAAAAATAACATAGATGTTGAGATATTAATTGGAGGGGATGAATTCTGGAATGTAGTTTATTCTGAAAGAATTAAAATATCTGAAGGGTTGTACGCAGTCAGTTCTGTGTTTGGTTGGGTTGCCGCAGGAATCGAGAAAAAATAAAACAAACAAAAATTGTTCTGAAAATTTAGCGGTAATGACAAACACTGTTGTGTTGAAAGATTTAAAAGGTTTTTGGGAATTAGAACATATGGGAATTAATGATTCTGATGATTATTCCGATATTGACTGCGAAATAGTAGACCAGTTTGAAAGAAATTTGCAGTTTAAAAACGGAAGATATGAGGCAAATTTAATCTGGAAATACAGTCCGAATAATTTAGGAAATAATTTTGAGGTAGCTAAGAAACGATTCGCAAACCTTCACAATAAACTAAGTAAAACTCCGGAGATTTTTCAGGAATATAAAAATATAATTGAGAACCAGATATTAGAAGGAATTGTCCAAATAATGATACAAATTTGGGATATTTTATGCCTCACCGAGCAGTGATACGACCTAGTGAAACTACTAAGGTAAGAATTGTGTACGATGCTAGCTCAAGGACAGAGGACACGAATTCGTTAAATGACTGCCTTGAATCGGGACCTAATCTAAATCCAAATATACTAGACATTATGTTAAATTTTCGTAAGTTTAAGATAGCGTTTTGTGGAGACGTTGAAAAAGCCTTTTTGATGATAGGAATTGCTGAAGGTGATAGAAAATTTCTAAAATTTCTTTGGTTTAATGAAAATAATGACTCCTTTAAGATTATGCAAATGTGTCGCGTAGCTTTCGGTTTGACTATATCTCCTTTCATTTTGGCCGCCACTATAAAATATCACATTCGAAAATATAAAGATAAAATGCCGGACAGTTTCCAAATGTTAAATTCTTCTGTCTATGTCGATGACCTATATTTTGGAGCAGGAACGGTTGAAGATGCATATCGGTTATCTGTAGATGCGGTTAACATATTTAAGGATGCTGGGATGAATTTCAGAAAATTAAGAACTAATTCTAAAGCATTAAACGATTTATGGGTCTCAAATGGGATTAAGGAATCAGATAACAAATTAACTAGTGAATCGAATTTCTTAGGCATGATTTGGAATTCCATTGAAGACAATATAAAGTTAAATTTAAAAAATTTAATTGACTTTTCTACTGGAAACGATTTTGCTACAAAAAGGAAACTTTTGCAAAGCATCGCATCGCCCAAATATACGATCCATTTGGATTTATTGCACCCTTTGTTATTCGGGCGAAAATTATTATGCAAGAAATCTGGTGTTCCGGTTCTGACTGGGATGAGGTCCTTCCTGCAGAGATTAAGGACAAATTCAACATTTGGCGGGAGGAACTTAATGATTTAACTGAAATATCGATACAGCGAAATTTCTTTGATGACGATCCAATGAATATAAGCCTTCACCTATTTTCGGACGCTAGTCCTAAAGCATATGGGGCCATCGCATATTTCAGATATTGTACGAGTGATTCTAAAATTAAAACTTCCTTTATCATGTCGAAATGCAGAGTTGCACCTTTAAGAGCAATCACGCTTCCTCGTTTAGAGTTAATGGGAGCACTCGTGGCTGCTCGAATGTATAAATATTTGAAAAAATTGTTTGGTGATTTAATTGAGGATGTTTATTTTTGAGGAGTGATTCCGAAATCGCCATTACTTGGATTAAAGGTTCGCCAAATAATTGGAAACCATTTATCGCCAATCGTGTTACAGAAATACAGAGTATATGCAACAAAAAATTGTGGAACCACTGCGAAGGGAAACAAAATCCTTCCGATTTACTAACTCGAGGAATTAGTGCTCAGTCACTAATTAAGAATGATCTGTGGTGGCATGGGCCACACTGGTTACGTTTTCCTATTGAAAACTTTCCAAAACAAAAGAAATTAAAACCAAATTCAGAATCGTTGGAGTTAAGAAAAAGTATTATTTTGACTGCACCTGTAATTAACAATGAATCCCCAATTTTGCATATAGAAAAATTCAGTTCTTTAGGAAAATTACTTCGAATTACTGCCTATGTATTTAGATTTATTGGGAGGCTTCGGAAAAGGTCTACAGGGAATGGACCTTTAAGTGCTTTTGAGATTAAAGCAGCTGAACATTATTGGGTAAAAATTACGCAACGAGAATCGTATCAAGCGGAAATAATTAAGTTATCAAATAAAAAATCAATTCTCGATTCTTCCATCTACTCCCTTAATCCAAGGCTTGATGAGGAGGGAATTCTTCGGTTGAAAGGTCGCATTCAATTTGCAGACTGTCACGAGAATTTAAAACATCCTATTCTATTACCCTCAAAATGCAAGTTTACCGAGTTGATCATCATGGACTCGCATGAAAGGGTATTCCATGCTGGAGTTAATTCGACACTAACTCAGATCAGAGACAAATATTGGATCATTAAGGGAAGACAGCGTGTTAAGACTATCATCAGCAAATGTGTGATATGCAAACGATATAGTGCTCGTCCTGGGGTACAGGATATCGCTCCACTTCCTCCAGACAGAATCCAAGAGTCGCCTCCATTTGCTGTGACCGGGTTGGACTTCGCCGGTCCATTTTTTACGAAAGACAGGCAAGGTAAAGTTTACATGCTGTTGTTAACGTGTGCGGTCACTCGTGCCTTACATATAGAGATAGTAACTGATCTCAGCACTGAAAGTTTTTTGCTAGCTTTCCGAAGATTTTTAGCTCGCCGAGGACTGTGTACCACCGTGTACTCCGATAATGCCAAGACTTTTAAAAGAGCTGATAAAGAACTAAAATATATTTTAAAACTTTGAGTGACTCATCTGTGAAAGAATTATTTTCTGCTAGAGGCATAAATTGGAAATTTATTATTGAGAGGGGTCCATGGTGGGGAGGGTTTTGGGAGCGTATGGTACGAACCATAAAATCCAGCTTGCGAAAAATTATTGGTCGAGCATCCCTTACTGTGAAAGAGCTTGAAATCCAGGCAATGATTAATTGTAGACCAATTACCTACGTGTTTACCGATCCCAATGAACCTTCTCCACTAACACCCTCTCATTTTCTGGTTGGTAGACGATTGCTATCTCTGCCTGCTAATAAAATAACATCAAATAATTTGATTGGGTCAAGAAATTCAATTATTAAACGATATAAATACCATCAAGATATTTTAAATCATTTTTGGAAGCGTTGGAGATCAGAGTATCTTTTTAATCTGAGATCTGCCAATATTTGTCCTCCACACTCTAACGCATCTCAGTTTAAAATCAACGATATTGTCTTGATTCATGACGACAAACATCCCAGAAATCTTTGGACAATAGGTAAAATTTTGGAATTAATGCCAGGCAGAGATGGTAAAATAAGATCTTGCATAATTAAAAAACACCTACTGGTACCTTAAAAAGGCCTATACAATTGTTATATAATATGGAACTTAACTAATGTTTGTATTTTGTATTTTTAGGTTTGATTCTCCTGACCTTGCTGATAGGTATCATTTAATGTTTTGTAAAATTTTATGTGCTTATAATTATGTATGCATGTTTGTTATATTTAACCATTTCTCCAGGATTTATTGTCGAAATATTAATTGAATATTCTAGAATATATTATTGAAAGATGAACTCTCCACCGAGTTCAGGTGGGGAGTGTTGTGTAATTTGAAGAAAAAGGCTAGAGGGCGCTGTTGCTCGCTTAGTTGTAAGAGAATAAAGTTTGTTCATGTTGAAGGCGGCGGCCTAAGAATACGCTCTGTATATAGTAATTAAAATATTGTTTAAAATGTAAAAGTGTTCAAATTAGTAAACCCACTGAACCACCATCATCTGATTTGGAGATGCACATAATTATTAGACACCATTCATGATAACAGTTCTGTAGCAAGTTACGGGTAGGTTAGGGATAGATTTCAAAATATTCATAATCTCTCTACTGCCGAAGAAGAAATCTTCATAGACTTCACGGCAAGTGGCGAAATTAAAAAACAATTTAGTAACAAATCACTACGAGGTTTTTGCACTTAAAAACAAGCGCATGTCATTAAAAACAAGCGCATTATTACCAATTTCAACATCCTGCCTTTGAAGACAAAATATGGATCTCAGCTAAAACATAGGTAAAAAGTCTATATCTAACACAAAATTTCCATTCGAAATACTTAGCTCATAAAGACAAAACCAAGTAAGTCGCTAATAATTGTTAAACTTGCTTTTAATTTAGCATTGGTTAAGTTAATTATTAAAGGCATTCATTCTGCAGTAGAAATACATTCCACTTTATAAGGGTTTTATATCAGTGTAAAATGTATCTCATTTGTTATTATGTCAGAATTTATTTTGTTTTGCTTTCTTTTCAGTAAATTAATTAATTCTTAAATAATATTTTCTTTTCGATATGCTCGCCCCCCTCCAACCCCCCTAGCGTTTAAACCCACTTTGTCAAATCCCCTAGCGGGTGCCCTACAGGTTTAGAATTCCTGCTTTAGTCAGTATATTCAGTATATCATTTGCTTAACTCTTAAATCAACTGTAGTTAGTAAGCAAATATTTTAAATTATGAGAATGATAAATACTTTGATATTGCACATATAGTATTATCATGTATATTTTAAAGAATGAAGAAGATTTATGCTTCTTACTCTCTCTATATACCGTTTACTGATGTATTAAAATTCTTGATTATGATCAGCGATGTACAGAATATTTTAAGAATTTAGCATCAAGCAAAATTAAAAGTGAATCTGATAATTAAATTATTGAGCTGTCTGATTATTTGACATCAAACTGAATGTATTTTACTGATATATTCTAATGCATAAGCGCTGCCACAAAAGTAATTTATGAAATATATATTGTATTTTACAAAACAAAAACGTAAGCCTCAAACCTGATGAGCCAATTCATGAGATATAACAGAAGCTGCAATTCCTTGGCTGTTAGTTGATGTTTCTGAAGGGTTGTACAAAACAGCTATCAAGCGGAAAGTTACAAGACCCCAGTTCTCCATGGCTCCAGCGGCAAAATCAGGAATAGCGGCCATATCTGTATTAAAAATTTAAAAAAAATATTATCATTTGCTATGTTTGATAAAGTCTTTAATAATAATCGATGTAGCTCAAACGACAAATTAGTAAGAAAAAGCATGGAAATGATAATAGATGTAAATCTCTAAAGAATTTATATCAGTCAGTAATTATTAAGAATGTCTTATGTGTCTATATATAATTTCAAAGGGTGAAAAACTCTTCAATAATGCATTAGTCACTTATAATACGAAGAAACTGAATGTAATATTTATACTTTTGTGATGTTGTAGAGTTTTGCTCTATTTTTCTAATAGTTATTTTTATTTTAAGACAAGCCTTTCTTGTACTCTCTAATTTTCCTACCTACATTTCCTTGTCAAGATGAGTTTCCAGTATTAGGCTTTATGCAAATAAGATAGAAACAAGTATTTAAGCTGAGGTCTAAATTACTTTAGTAGGCTAGGGTGTTCTGCCATTCGGTCACGTTGTTGCTATTAGTTTAAGCTTGCTATTCTGCTGCCGTACTTAACACGTTAACTGCCATGCCACTTTTTGGACTCCGGTTCGAGAAGCCAAATCGATTTAATCATATTATATTTTTCCGAGAAGCCAGCTCTTTGTTTCGAAGATTGTTTTAAAATTTATCACAAACAATAAATATATTCTTTTTTTAAACTAATGAATAAACATTGAATGTATATTTTTGGTTCATTTTCAATAAAATTTCTATTCGTATAAGCCAAATTTGTTTGCTTATTTTCTTCCAGGAGGCCATCCATTCATATTTACACTTATAAACTACGAACTAATTCTTACCGGCGCAAAAAGACCAAGTCAAGAAACTACGAGATAATTCGTATTAGGCGTTCTGCAGAAGAGCGCTAATACGAGTTACCTCGTGTTGGGCAGTCAACCTGTTAATACGTGCCTTCTGGTATACATCGGTAATTCTTAATTAAGGACCAACTACGAGAGTTTGATTATGTGTAAGTACGGGTGAGTAATTTTATTTAGTATTAGTTAGCCTTATAATTTTTATTTTGAGTTAAAGCCCAAGTGAAGGCTTCTTGTACGCCCAAGAGAGGCCGACTGTTAATCTAGTTTTGAGTTAGAATAAAAGGCTATTTAAACCCTTCTCTGGAATTGTTAATACTCACAAGAACTCAGCGAATAGTCACTACTTAGCTAGCTTTTCAATATTCTAGTTTTCAAAGGACTTTTATTTTAGTTAGAATATTACAGTTTTATTAATGCAGCTTTGATTACTAAATATACAATAACATAGTAATATAAAGTTTAAAAACGACGAATTTATCTTTAAAAACGATTTGGAAAGTGAATATAATGACCCGAAGTTTTCATGACTGCTTCATTGTGTGTCGGTTTAAGCTGTTCTATTGTTTCTATAAAATATTTTCCTTTGTCCAAAATGTAATGAGAAAACAATATCCAAATTCCGATGACTTATTCTTACTTCAAAGTCCATACTCAAGTATTTGTTAACTAATCTTCCTTCAATAACTGTCACTTGCCTCTAGTGACTTGAAATTTATGCACGTATCTATTCAAACATGAATAAATTATATGATTTTGAAAGAGTTATATCACCACAATGCGGCCGTAGTGGGAATTTGTTTTTCCTTATGTACTCTCCCCTCTGGTACCGACCGGAAAATTGATAATTGCCGCAACTTCTCTGCAGGATTCTATGTATACATGATCAGATCAAAATCTGAAAACAGTTAATCAGTTAATATACAAAATGGTATACATTTAAAAATACAGTTTCACAAAATAAACTAAGTGCCTATGAAAGATATCATCTTGTCAGATGAATGTTTTGTCCATTGGAAGTATATAAAGACATTCTTGGAGGTTCACGCCGAATATGATCCCTATAGTTCTTCTGAATGAGCATTTAACATCATCACATAAAGATCAGGGCTGCGTTCACTTAAATAAAGTGACCTTAAAGCAAATGGACGCCCTGAGATAAGTGGCTGTAAGATAACAGTTCTTTTGAGACAATCTGTCAATAATTATTGAATTTTTTGTTCTTCAGTACTTCTCACATTATTATGTTTTCAATTCCATCACTAAATAGTAACGTGATTTGATGGATGATTTCTTTCCATCCAAGAGTAGAAATCTCCTATATAAAGCCTTCTGCTTTCAGACCATCCTAGAGTAGAGACCTCCTGTATAAAGTCGGTATAACGTCTTCTGTATAAACCCTTCTGTGTTAAGCCCTGTCTCATGTTTAAAGCCTCTTGTATAAAGTTACTATATTCATTTTTCAACTCGTTTTTAGAGATAAATTCATCGTTCTTTAAATTTATATTACTTCACTGAAACTGTATATTACTGTAACTTTCAGACCATCATGATGTAGAGATCTCCTGTATGCTTTCTTGATCTTCCGCTTTCTACTTTTTTGATCTTCTGCTTTCTACTTTTCCTGATTTCTGCTTTCTACTTTTCTGATCTTCTGCTTTTTACTTTTCCTGATCTTCTGCTTTCAGTAAAATCAAATACGATACTCACAGTAGCCATGAGGACATATAATCAAGTTTTATTAAAGCGTTGACTTAGAAAGCGTTGAAATTAGACGTTCGATTTTTGACGTCCATTTAAAAAACGGACGTACGTTTGACGTACGGATACTTGAATCTAGACTTTCCTTGAATTAAATTCTTCTGAAAAATACTTATCTTCAAAATCCAATTCCAGATTTTACAGAAAAAAAAATCTGATATGGAAATCACATGACTTCCTTGCCCGGCCTATTAAATTATACACATTATTTGCTGCTTTTCGTTTAAACTTATTAAGTGAAGTTTAATTGTAAATGAAGCTCGACTTCACTTGAGCTTCACTTACAATTAACTTTACTAACCGTAATTGCTGGAGGAAGTTGAGGATTAGAACCAAAGTTTTTAGGTGAGTAAGGCGATATTATAAAATGTATCTACTCTGTAAAACGTTTTGAAGCATATGAAATGAAAAAAACTTACCTAATTTAGACAAAGGATAACTGATATTGAAAAATGTTTTGTAAAAGTGAAGAACATCGCCAGCTATCTCTAAGGCGAATTCAGACTCCCCGTATTGTTCGGCAGGAACAAGCACTCGAATCTGAATTGAAAAAATTAATCTTCTCATTAACAAAAAATAGTAATGCTTATTATTTCAAAAATTAAAAACTCATAAACCTTTCGAATAGTTCGAGATTCGAAAACTCTAACTTTGTAATTTTTCGTCTTTTAAAGCACTTGATTTCTAACTAAAATATCTTATAAGCTTTTTAACTCAAAATTTAAAAGGTAAATTTTATTTAGTAAAAGAGATTATTAAATGCGTATAGAACATGTTTGTTGCAATTCCAAGGACTTAACTAGCTATTATCACTTCGTCACGGCAAGATTGTTTTTTCAAGTAGGGGGGGAGAATTTAGGGTTCTGTATTTAAAGCTTTCTGCCTTACCTCCGGTAAATTTTCCGGTTTGCTGGTAAATTTTATTTAGTAAAAGAGATTATTAAATGCGTATAGAACATGTTTGTTGCAATTCCAAGGACTTAACTAGCTATTATCCCTTCGTCACGGCAAGATTGTTTTTTCAAGGGGGGGGAATTTAGGGTTCTGTATTTAAAGCTTTTTGCCTTACCTCCGCTTGAAATATTCTGGATTTTTTCATTTAAAACGATTCAGAAAAATTTTTAATCTTTTACATGAAACTCTTTTCTTTTTTGCCCTTCCCTTTCATCCTCCTTCCAAACTTGTATTGACAGATAGAACGACATTTTTACATATAGCGCGAAAAGATTATTTAAACAGATTTCATAATTAAGAGCAAGATTAAAAACATGAATCTTCTTAGCAATTTAGTTAAGCTTGAGAGGGTACGAGTCCGTTTGGGCTTATATAGAGTAGATGCGAAAACGTATTGTTTCCAAGTTAACATGAAAAGAATATTAAAAAACTTTTAAAGATAACATGTTTGAATATTTAAATCTGATATATTTTCTTTCAAAATGAGGGCAATAAACTAAACTAAATAGTACTTCTTCATGCAGTTTCAAAATACTTACATTAATGCCATCAACGTTTGTAATCTGACGTTCTCTAAAATCACAAACAATAAAAGCAACCAAATATGTACTCATTTTAACAGTTTTCTGAAAAGATGTTATAGAAAGCTCTTCAGAATATGGTTCAGTTTGTATAGCTTCTGAATTGAAATAAGCTTTGTAATTCTTATCATGAACCATTTTGAGTTGAAAAGTAGCTTTCATGGCAGGTTCATCAAAACAGGGGAAAGCTGATCGTGCAGAAGTTGGTTCAAAGTTTGTTGTTGCAAGATACCTAATAAAGGAAAGAGTTCACAAAATAAGTTAAAAGCATTAAATAGGCCTAATATAGATTTTACACTACTATTTATTAAATAGACGTTCTTAAAAAAATAAGTGTTTAAATTGATTAATTGGCATGAACATACGAAACTCTCGAAAGATAATAACCCAAACTATATAATCTTTTTATGTAAACAATTGGGAAATTAAAGAAGGAATATTCTAAAAGTGTTATCTTGGCACTTGAAACGAAATTGGCTAACGCGAACCGAAAAGACCAAAATATATGAAACTTTCTGTGGATTTAAATACCAGATTCAGAACCTAACCTAGGATTCTCTTTGTTATTAATTAGTTAGATAAGCAAGGCAATTAAATTTCTTAATATGAAAAGAGTAATTAACTCCTAATGTAATCAGATCATTAAGACAATTAATTAAACCAACCAATCAGTGCAGGATTTACGTATAAGCTACACAAGCTACAAGCTTAAGACCCCAGCTTTCTTGGCCCCCGCTTTTTTCGCCGAAAACCCTCTAGGTATATGAAAATCATATTTGGCACTGACATATAATATCTGGGCTTATAAAGGGCCCCATATGTTAAATTGCTTAAGGCCTTATCAAGTCTAAATCCAGCCCTGAAACCAATAGATTACAGCAAAAGAAACGAAAACAAAAGAAAAGATTGAAACTGAAAGCAATATTTGTAATAATTTGAAAAAAGAGTATTATTTAACCATGAATTAGAAAAGAGTTAAAAAAAACCGCATAAAAGCATTCGTAAATTTTGATATAAAAATGAACTGTAAAAAAAAGAAAGTAAAGAAAATTATATTGCTTTAAAGCAGGAAAATAATCCCCTTTTGTTGCCATATGAGAATCTTCTGTTTCAAGTGCCATAATAAATCTTTTGACTAAATATTTCTCTTCTTTACACTTCTTTAGTTATTCAAATATTTGCTGCAGTAATCATTTCATTACTGTCGTGAACGTGTAAAACTGTCATTCAAGTGAATTGTAAGAAACTATAATGTAGACTAGAAACTCACAGTATAAAGACTGCCTGTATTCATACCTGGAAAGTCAGTTGCATTTAACAATGTGCATGTACTGTGTAAATAAATTTCGGCAAATTATACCGTAAGACCATATATAATGAACCGATATATAATGTAGGCATAACGAATGTATGAAAGTGCATATATCTGTAAGCAAAGTAATGTAAGGGAGTGTAATATATGTAAATATTTTTGTGTATCAGTAAGCTATGTATAAGTAAGTTATGCAATTTAAAGTAATGCAATATAAATGCAGAAATGTCTAATAAAAATGCATGGGTAACATATATGTTTTGTATTATGAATAAGGGATATAGGATGTCTAACGCAAAGCAATGTATGTATTGGAATGTCTATTTCATGTACTGGAAAATTATGCAATAAGTACCCAAATAACATGTAATGTAAGTAACCTGTAAGACTATTATGTTTGTAAATATTTGTATCTAAAAAATTAATCAGAATGTATCTGCATGTATCTATATGCAACTGCAAGTATATGTAAAAGTTTAAGCAGTGTAGGTAAAATTAAGTAATATGTGAAGCAGGCGTGCCTGACTATGTATGTATATAAAAATAATGTAACGCAGGGCACATGTAATATTGGCATATGTAACTGTACATGCAAACTGTATTTATATGCAATCTACAAGTAATGTAGGTATATTTATTGAAATGTACAGCTAAAAACTGTAACTGTACACAAAAGTAATCCAACGCAATGTAAGATTAATGTAATTCAGGTAATGCATATGCATTGTATGCCGGAAATGAGAGACAAAGTCAGTATGTAACTCTGTAAATCACGTTATCCATAGAATATGTTAACCAGCAAACAAGAATGTAATACTAAATATTAACATCCCTTGTATGGCCATGTAATTGCTCTTTTGAAAGACTCAAGGTTCAACTCTAGATATTGGTGGACGTGGCGCTACACCAATTAACCGACGGTAAAGGGGTGGTGCCCACGTCCCCCGTCGCATGTCGCATGTCGTGAACGTGTTGATAAATGTTGTAATTTTCATTTCTCTAACTTTTTTAGTTTGCACATTTTTTTTTTTAAATTTTTTGTTAACCTGGCTTTTTACCTTTTACATTCCTCTTAATTTATATTCTTCTTTTTATTTATTCAGATCAAAAGCTGAAATGTGAATTTCAGTATCAGATATAAATAATCCTAACTATTGCTAGAGACAGATTATAGTTCCATATAAAAATTATGTTAGTCATGAACAGTAATCTCCCTTCATTTAACTTACAGAAATAGCTCTTGTAATTATTATGCAGCTAAAGACTTCATGAAAAAACAATACAAGACTGTGTTACACAGAATTAAAAGTATCCTCGAGTGTGGTCTTGTGTTGCAGTGATTCAACACATCAAGCTGTTAACATACGATCAATCCCATGTTAAAATCCAGAAAAGGGAAGAGTTAATTTTTATGATCCCGATTTTGCGTCTTCTTGTCTGACAGCAATCAGTAAATCATATGAAAAGACGAATACAACTACTTATTTTTAAATCTATAAAATAATCATTAACAGAAACTTAATTTTTTATCTGACTCCTTACAATTGCACAGAAATGCATATGTTGTCCTTATACATTTTTCTAGAAGCGGTGAAGCAGTACGCAAAAACATTCACTAGTAAATAACAAAGAACACTCATAAAAATAATTTTAAGCTTCATTCAGATATAACTTAAGAAATTAAACAGCTATACACAACAACGAGAGATGGCAACTTTGTAGTTCAGTACATACGTGGTAACAGGCTAAATCATATAAAAACATTTCAGAAGAATAAAGAAATTCCGAAAATTCCGTAAATATGCTATATATCTGAAATTATCAGGCGACTTAAACACTACAATGCTGATTGTTTACACCTTACCCTGATTTCAAATATATTCTGCACTATAAAACTGCACTATTTCGTAACAGTACATTTCAACTAAAAGTCATTCAGTTCGTTATAAAAATTACATATATATAATATCCATTTACTTTCTTAATGTATAAAAAGTCAAATTTTTTAGCGCAACCATTGTACAATACTTGATGTAAAGGCTTTTAACTCGGATGATAACAAAAATCTTATTATTTATAAAAAAAGAGCTTTGTTTTCTGCTTGAGATCTGCGTAAGTTCTATAATTCTCATCACCCTCACAGTTATCTAGCCACAATCTGAAGACTAACGGTGATTAAAAATGCTAAGTTGTATTTTGTAATTTTCCTATTAACTTACTTCTATTAACTTCCCGATATAGAAATGGATGTAGAATAATAGTGAAATTACGTTTTAGATTATTTCTTCTTATTTCTGAATTTATTTTTGGCACGTAGTTAGTTCTAAAATAACAATGATATTGTTAATAGCTCGGTATTTGGGATTTTTAAATTAAATATATATGCTAAATATATATTTGTTTTCTACGGCTTTAATTCAAGAACTATTAATCAATTACACATGAACCATTTCTTATTTTCTTAGCTATAAACCCTTTTGTGCAATAAAAGGATTAAGTTCTAATAACTCACCAAATAATATACCTAATACATAAATTTTTACATAAAACTTTCCCTTTAAATGTAATGTTCATACCTTTTCTGACCATCTCCTGTCTTGTAGGAGCTCAAATAAAATCCATCCATGCTTTCTTCTAGATTTCTCTCAAAATCAATCAATAATTTATACTCCAGATTAGGCATGAAATTTCCATCAATTTTTATGTACAATTGTTCATGTTCTGGATATTCCAAATACTGAAGAACAGGTATTTCTCTTCCATCATTTTCATTTATTAAGATACTTGACAAATTAAGGTCCTTCGAATGTAAAACAATAAAATTTGTAGAGGCTGTGACCTGGAAAGTTATATTCACACTTCCAGAATTTTCAAAGGTTTTAAGATTAGGCTTCATCAATAAATCATAGTGTATGGGTAATACGAAAGAAGGTAAACGTATGTCTTTCCACGGAAAAGTTTCACCAGTTTTGGCTTTTGGTTCTTCTTCTGTACGCTCTTCTGCTCGTGACACAAAAATAGCTCGTTGATATTGTGATAGGTCATGTTCTACAGAACAGCTTTCAGCTGGTTTAGTAATAGATGTCAATGTGGCGATAACAATTATTACAGCGATTAAAATAGCAGTGACACTACATGCTTCTTGCTTCGGAAATGACATTTTCCTAAATTTCTTAGAACTGGATGTGCTAGTAGCACGTTTTTTCTCACTATCACCTGAAATAACATAAATATCCAGTAAATAAATTATTTATCTCAAAATATATCATTTACAGATGTAACAAGTGTACAATTAAAGGTAAAAATGTGCATAATTTAGTAATGCAGTGCAATATTTTTGCTGTATTAAAACAAAATACTATATTAACAAAACGTTATGTGTTTTTACTGTTTGTTCATGTTTCCTGTTTAAAACATTGTCACTGTGGATCAGAAAATAGTGCAAAAAATGGTTACACCATTGCCAATAATAAATTTTATAATCAAAGGTAAAAAATATACAAATTATTTTTTTTTATTTCTCCCAATGTTTTATGAAATAAAGCATCTTAAAAGAATAGGAAATCGCACTATATATTAGCAATAAAAAATAGTACCTTTACACTGTATCGATTCTTTATATTTTTAATTAGCACTGTAGGCACAGAGCAAAAATGAAACAACAAATGTTAGCAGCACATTGAACAAAGTGTTGTCGTGTGTTCCAAACAGAAATATGTTTCACATTCCAGGCAATGCCTTTTCATTTTTACTCCAAAGGGGCTTTGTCACCGGGGACTATTGTTTTCGTTTTGCGATTTCGCGTCGAATCACCCTGAACGTCCGTTTCACTTTTCAAACTGTTTCCACCAAATATTATTGCCCTGTATTATATTTTAAGAAATTAAATAATGAAGAATCTGCATAAATGTATGTATGTTTCTCGCACAGTGATAAAACAACGATGTCCAGAACTATCAAATTTTGAATGACGTAATACTACTGCGAATATGGGAATCAGGAAGTCACAATTTGAAATTTGGAATTTGTTTTATTATAAATTTCATATTTTGTAAACCTTTCACGAATGTTTGATCAACATACTCGAGGATTTCAAAGCGAGCAATGGCAAAGTTGTACAGAAAAAACATTTTTATCTCCTGCTCGTGAGACAGTGTATCGGAAATTCTAAAGATATGCTCATTTTAAAATTATTTTGTGATATTACTTTTGAACTGAATTTTATGGTTTAAGTGCAAAGAACATATTTACTAAATGAAGGTGACACACAAAATGTTAAAAAACGCCCCTTTGGACGTAATTTAAAATCTGAAACCTTTCAGATTTTTTTAATTATTTAATTTTTTATACTTTTCGCTGGGCAAACACTGCATGTTTTTTCCCGTTTCCGATAATTGCTTTCAATAAAGCAATTAATGTCATCCTCACTCTCGTTTTCAGAATCTATATGAATTTTTGAATCAGTAACATGTGAACTAAAAGTTCATGATCACTTCCATCCTCATTTTCTTCATTCTTCTCCGGTTGACACATCTAATAACTTTTGCAACATTTCTTTCTTGTATGATAGATTACGTGACATGTTTGCCGCTTTCTATACTATCACAAATCAGCTGTGTAAAAGCAACAGGAATAGGAGCTGGGTCTAAAAGACCCGATCCGATCAAAATCAATTTTCCGAATCAAAGCTTTAGTGAAAAAAAAAAAGAAAATTTCGGAAACATAAAGATGTCGACCTCAGACACGACTGCAATGGACCTTAACCAATTGTTTAAAATAGGCAAGCTTTGAGAAATTTTGTTTAATGGCATGGGTCCACTGGACCCTGTGTGCGAGCTCGCGGGTTAAAGATCGTAAAATTAATCCAAATATCCGCATAATGGATATAAAGGTGTTCAGCCATGTTTGATGTTGTAAAAGGATGAAACTGCATGGAACCGTTGAAAATGCATTGAAGTCTGGACCACATTCCACTCTAACACCAGGGAATTGGATTTATCCGACAAAAAAACACAAAACGAATAAGACCAAACCATTATTGCTTTAAATCTTGCAGCGAGTTTAGGAGAATAGTTTGCGATAAAAATTAACGTTGGAGTTGTTAAAAGAGTCGTTAGGGCTCATGCATCTAGCGAGCGATCAGAAAGAAATGTTTCATGAAAAGAAAACACGCCTTGGTGTCTGGAAAAGTCATGGTTAAGAAATATTTATCATATTGAAACAATTTTACACTTGCAGACGAGTCAAAGTTTAGTATAATATTTGGGTACGATGGACGAATTACTGTGGGGCGACAACCCAATGAAAAACCGAATCCCCAAAACCTATTGCCTACTATTAAGTTCGGGAGTATAGGCATATTCATTTGGGGATGTTTCGCTGTCTCTAAGATGAAAAATTTAGTTTTTATATAAAATGATACATATCAACATAAATATATAAGAATCCCAAGTAGCACATGACGTAGCAAAGACGTTGCAAACTCGTCCGAGAGGTTGCAAAGTGGTCGTTTTAACTTTTATGACGTCTTTACAACGTAGCGAAGACGCAAAATATTTGCCGTTGCATCTTGACAATTTGTCGACGTCGCTAAAACGTCATGATATGACCGCTCTTAGACGTGGTGGTTTCAGCATCTTTTTAATAGTTCACCAGCGTTACTTTTAGAATGAAAAGAGACTAAATCTGCCCTTTCAAGAATCTGAAGTCCGCATAAGATTTATTTTGCAAAGTTTCATTATTTTATTTCATCTAAATATATTCATCTAAGGTAGATTCATCTAATGAAATATAAATTTAATATAAATACTTGAGCCCCAATAACACGCCGAACAAATACTAATTCAGAAGTCAAACAACAAAAATATAACGCTGATTTTTGTGTTTGACTTCTGAATTAGTATAAATACTTGAATTATTAAATTTAATTAGTGCTAAAAATACGTGCTAAATTATTGTTTAAAATTTTGTTACAATAATTAATACTTAAAATATTTTTTTATAAACATTATAGCAAAATATTAAAAAATGAAACTAATCGATAAAGTAAGTTATTAAGTTATGCATTATAATGCTTAATGAAAACACACATATATATGTACAAAATAATCGGAAAACAAAATTGTTCAAGCTCTATCAAGCTAAAGATCCTAAAAATACAGCCCTAAATGTACGCTTGTGGTTATTATACAACTTTCCTGAAATTAGTTTCCATATTCTTGGATCTTAAATCCTATCGAATAAATATGGAGTGAGTTGTCAAAAAGAATAAGTAAACATAAGATTTCTTCGAAAGGTCTTTTAAAAGCAATTGTTACGGTGGAATGGAATATTCTCACTCGAAAACAGTAATTAAATCCACGTCAAAGCGCACGAAAAGTGCAATTTTATCGAAAGGATATCTAAGGAAGAATTGGATGTCTTGTTATTTTTATGTTTTTATTAAATATAAACTGCCTGTCCAAAATGACCCAATACTTAATGGCAGAATACATTTTCAAAACTTTTCATTAAACTATTTTTTAATCAAAATCGTTTTGATTTTCTTAATAAATGTTTAATTAAATTAATTAATAAATATGTTAAATTTATTTTTTCCTTAAATAAAGCAGATTTTAAAAAGATGATCACTAGCAGCTTTAGAAAAGAAGATTAATTTCCCTATTCTTCAGAAGAATGCAAAAAGAATTTTACTAAGAATTATGCATGGCTACAGAACAATTAGTTATAAAGACTGTTTCACAACTGAGGGGGTTACCACTGACTGATCTTCATTTTTTGCATGACAAAGAATAAATATATCATTCATATCTTTAAATTCTTTGTCATGCAAAAAACCATGCTTCTAATATATTCGATACGAAGTTATTATTTGAGAATCTTCCTCATTCTGCTGATCCTGTGCCAATTCCAATTATAATTTACGACAAATCCAACAATCCTAAACATAGTCCTAACCATTCGTTTATTGTAATTATACAGCAGCAATGATGTTACCAGTGTTCTCCCTGTTCTTTTAATCCATTCTGTCACACATGGGGTGAGTCGGAGGAAAAGCAAAGAAAATATAATATTTTTGGAGTAACCTGTATTGAAAGAAATTCTTACGGAAGAATGGAACATGTTTACTCAAAGACATAAATTGAATCCATGCCAAAGCATATGTAAAGTGTAAATTAAGCTAATGAAATCTTCAAAGACCCGTTATTTTCATGTTTTTATTAAATATAAACTGTTTATACAAAGTGTCCGAATACTTATGTGAGGTCCTCTTCAGAACGTTTTGAATAAATTATATTTTCAACCAAAAGCAATACAATAACATTTTTCAAAACAAGCAGATTTTAGAAAAAATGAATAGTAGTATATCTGAAAAATGATAAAAAATAAAGTTATTTGGTTTATATTTCGTAAATGATTTTTGAAAATAAAATGAAAAACATAAGTGTTCTAAAACAAATGTGACCCACCGTAAATTAATATGCTCCTGGCAAATTCTGTACATAATAAGAATTCGGAGCACTTACTTTGGAGAATTTGAGGTTGATTTCCATGTCGTTTGGCTGCAGCTGACCTCAGGGATGCTAAACTAGCGTTTATACACCGAACAATTCCGGTTGTTCTATATCATTCTTTCTATATCATTCATATTAAATATCATTCTTCTAATAGATTTTTAATAATCGACAGCTCAAACTATATTTTAATTCGTTATTTTTAAGGAAGTCTACAAGAAAGTATACAACGTAACAAGCAACAATTTTAATGAGAGCTATTAAGTTTTCCGTAATTTAAAGAAATAACATCAGAGACACTGGAAGAGCAGCAAAGGTTGTTTTCAAACCTTTCTTCAGTGTCTCTGATGTGTCGAAGGAACAAAAGAAATGTTCCATCCAACTGAGTAAAAATTAAATAAGGAATTAAAAAAATAATGCTGTAAGTTGAGTTATTTAAAATTTAATTTTTTTCAAACGATAATTATTTAGGAATGATACAGTCATTTACCATCGACTGTGGCAACATAGACTGGGCGTTAGCCCAGAAGGACTATTAGTCTCGAAACGGCATCTTGCGTTGAATCACTAAAAGCATTGCATCACTTTTCAAATTGTAGCCACCAAATATTATCGCCCTGCATTATAATAAAAAATTTAAATAATGAAGAATCTGAATGAATACATGAATGTTTCTAGCATAATGGTACCTAGAGCCATCAAATTTTGAATAACGTAATCCTTCCCCTGAATATGAACACCTGGAGGTCCGAATTTGTTTTATTGTCTAGTTCATATTTTGTAAAACTTAGCGAATTGTGATTAAAAAATTCAACGATTTCAAAGCGAGCATTGGCAACACTGTACGAATAAAAAAAAATTTTTTCTCCAGGGTGCGAGACAGTCTATCGAGAATTCTAAAGATATGCTGCTTTTAAATATTTTCATCCCACAGGAAAGATTAGCCCAAATGCTCTCAAAATGTGTATGCTTGTAAATTTTAAAAAATTCTGAAAGCTTTTAGATTTTATATTACCAACCAGAGTGGCGTTTTTTTAAAAAAAAATTTTTTAACGTTTTGTGTGTTATCTTTATTTATTAAATATCATGTTCTTCGCATTTAAACCACAAAAATTCGGTTTAACAACAATATCACAAAATATTTAAAAACAGCATATCTTTAGAATTTCCACAGGCAGTCTCGCCCGCTGGAGATAAAATTGTTCTTTTCTGTACAGTGTAGTATTCTCGCTTTAAAATCGTTTTGTTAACCAAACATTCCTTTAAAGTTTTGCAAAGTACGAAAATAGATAATGAAACAAATTATAAATTCAAAATTCGGGCTTCATGGTCCCATTTTCGGGCGGAGGATTAGGTTATTCAAAATTTAATGGCTCTAGGTACCATCGTTTTTTTTTTTTTTTTTTTTTACGATATAAGAAACATACATACATTCATGTAGATTCTACCTTATTTAATTTCTGTAAATAGTTCAATGCGATAATATTTGGTGGCAACAATTTTAAATGTTACACGCCGTTTATAGTGAACCCGCGAAAAATGCCATTTCGAGACTAAATAATTCTTCTGGGCGAACGCTGCTTTAGGGCTAAAAACGCCCCTTTGGGCGTAATATAAAATATGAAAACTTTCAGATTTTACTTTTTGGTTTGATATTATTTTAATTTTTTACGTAACTTTAATATGGCTTGCATCAGTATCATTTGATTAAAATTCTGTTCACGTAACCAATTTACTGTTCATCAAGGTATATGTTGTTGATTAACGTTATTGTGAGTAAGTCACTGAAAGCTTTTAAACAGTTTAGTGTCTAATAATTTCTTTATATTTTGAACCAATTTTACCTTAGCAGCTTATGAATAATTAGCAGTCATTGGGATGGATTTATCATAGAAATTTATCATAGAAATATTTACATAGTACAAAATTCTTATTGATAATTTTAAATTTAAAAATGTGCATCTTATTGAAAAAATTGTATTATGGAACGAAAATGGCTATATATATTCAGAGTTTATGATGGAAAATACTTTTTGCTCATTTCTCTCAGGTAAATTAGGAAAAAGGTAATTAGAAAAGCTAATTACATTTCATACAAATTCCTATAGACTAACACAAGTATGACAGAAGTAAATACGTACAACAAGTAAAACTGTACAATATTTCAACCATATTGAATAGAAGAAAACGAATAGATTAATAGAAAACTTTGCAAAAATACTGTTTTGCATAACAGAGAAAGTAAATATTTCAAAACTGTTTTTTTAATAAAATGATTTTTTAATTTTTTTTTTACCTTTAGTGTTCAGATCCGCGTATGATAATATGCTCCATTCATTCCACCTCTTGTAAGGTTTAAAAATCATTCTTGCCCTCTTTTCTTTAGTGGTTTCTAAGATAATCTATCAAACTATGGATCTCAAGAATTAGTGAAGCACGCTTTGAAATACATGCCTATTTAAAATCTCAGCTGCTATTTAGTAGAGACAGATGTTCGATGAAATGCCATAGTTAAATTTACCATCTGTAGATTCTTAGCCATGACGTTTAATAAAAACAAAACTTAAATAAGTTTCATAGAGAATGTCTCACAAAATGGATAGGTAACCTGTGATTTCCAAAAAACTATATGAAAAGTTTTAAATGCGTCAATTTGAATGATAAAACGGGATTTCGTTGGAAGTGTACATTTACTCAACTTTCTTTCTGCAGAGAATACTTTTCTTTCAAAATAAAATATTGAGCTTAAATATTAATATTTTTTTGGGCCGACCACATCACAAAGGTATTAAGATTCTTAATTCTATCAAATAAAAAATAAAAGAATTCTTGAAATCTGTCTAACATTTTACTTTGTTAGTGATATTTTACAATTATGGTTTAATTTTTAAATTCTAATCTTCTTCAACTAGATATTTTATTACTTTACGCCTTTCTCCAGGGTTTTTATATTGCTAAATTCGAAGGTTGTTGATAGAAGTATATTATTTTTGAAAATGATATTCTATTTCTCCCAAAATTGTTCGATTGGATTAAAATTTATACTCTGAGGAGGTATTTTGAATATTTTAAGTATAATAAACAGTATCCCAGTAGAATATTTCTAACAATAAGGCTTCAGGTTTTTATATTGGTATAAAACGGAATTACCGCTGTAGCAATAAATTCCATATCTCTTTTTTTTTTTTTTTTTTTAACCATGCGAACTTCGCGTGTACTACAAATGTGCAACAAGAAACTTAGAAAAATAAGTTAATTGAAATATTACATGCTTTAATAACACAAATAAAAACAGAGTGCAGCTATCTAGACTTCATATAAACAGGTAAGTACACTTTCCAAGCCACACCTAACTTTCTTAAAACATTCTGCAGACATTATCTAAGCCCATAGAAAGTGGGAGCGAAAAGATTTCAATCTTGAGGAACTTTTTCCGACCACTCATGCCGTGATCATACAAAAACTGAGATACATTAGAATTAGTAAAGAATAAAGACTCAGAATGCATTACACATTTCATCAGTATGTTATTATATATATTGCTAGAAATCCGCTGACGGAAACAGAGATGGATTAGCTGACAGAAACGGAAAGCACTTGTTCAAAGAATGTACAGCAAGCAATTCCCCAGCAGAACAGATATTGAATCGCCACACTTTTGAATATGTGCAGGCAATGCTGTTTTCCAATGTCCGCATGGGCAATGTCCGCATGGGCCAGCTGAGCACTTGCTCGGGAATCCACTGAGCGTAGGAATCATATATGTCATTTGAATTGCCATTAATAAAACTATTTTGGACATTTAAATTAACTCTGTAATATAAAACTTAAATTATTTCACTTTTATTAAGATTATAAAATATTTTTAAAAAATTTGATAATATTCTAGGTAATTTCATACTGTGCTATCTAATTACTTTTATGTTTTAACACCAGTTTGTTTCTGTTGTTAATGTGCAAAAAAATAAATAGATGTTTATTAATATATGCATTTGTATTTCCTGAGAGCTTTATTATCCTTAAAGCTTTATTAATATATGCATTTGTATTTTATGGTGTTTGTGAGGTTTTTATCATACAGGGACTCCAGCACACTATTTGCCCCGGTGAGGATAATGGTGTAAGAACGAGAAATATTTAAACGTGTAGAAAGGCTTGATGTAGGCAGGGGAATATATCGCAGAAATTCTGCAATGGAAAATACTATGCTACGTCTATTTGAGAATAAAGCTTTACGGGAGCTTCTGCATAAGCGTAAAGTGAGACCAATAAATCATTCAGATGACTTATGAGGAAGAAATGCTTGCAGAGAGTATAAGCTTTGAAACCGGACTATTCTCGTCTGGATGGTAATTTTGCTTGTTAGTACCTACAGTAGGTTGCAGCAAATCCTGACTTCCTTTGCACGCCTTATTCACCGTCGAGACTACATTTGCTCTTTAGGGTATATTTAACACCCATGCATCTTACCAATCCATGCACTGCCGCTGTACATTTTTCATTATCTGTTGATAGTAGTGTCTTTCTGCACCTTTCTAAAACGTTGAATCGTTACAGAGAGGCTTCTTTGCCCGTTTAGGTATGCTAAACTCCAAGATCTTAGCTTTAGGTACATGATAATCTCCAGTGCACGAAATCATATGCCTACCAGGAAAAGTACTATATTAATATTTGGTCTGGTATTGTATATTGCTAATTAATAGGACATTATATTCTTTTCAGTTGCCTGAATGGCTAAATATACGGCATATTTCTGTAACATATATTGCTGGATGCTTTTTCTGATATTTTTTCAGCCGTCTGAGCTCAAATATGATTCTAGCATAATTGTCTTCCAGCTTCCTTCAGCAGTAACAACCTAAAATATTTCTTACTTAATTAGATCCCACTGAATCCGACTGGATGACTTCCGTTTTGGCCGTCAGGATTACCATATTTGATGTATATGAATTCTTTCTGGGGAACATGAAAAGGAAAATTTTAAAAAGTTCCATTCGTGAAGATTTAGTGACCAGCCTATCAGTTGTAACTTACATGAATATGAGTGAAATTCCTGAGAGCTTTATTAATATATGCCATATTATTAACATATGCCGCTGCTATGGGATCATTGACAGATATCCCACAGCAGCGGCACCTTGATACTTATGTGCGCCCTTATGCCGGGGCAATAGATGGTGGTTTCCCGCTACAGGACGGCAACGCTAGACCGCTCAGGGATGGTTATCTTCAGCAGTAAATAATTCAGCACATGGTATAACCAGGTCATCACCGGATTTGAATACTACCGAGCATGTTTGAGATGTTTTAGGAAAACGTAGACCGCGTTAACTGACAGTATAACCCACCGCTGTATGTGTTTTACAGCTTCTAGGGGAGCTCATACTCCATACTCAAAGTAAATTTCCTGTACCAAACTAACACATGTGATTCCTTCATTTTATTATATGCTGATTTCTAATTTCTTTTCATGTTATTTTATGCCTTACTATGCGTTGTATACTGTAGGTCTGTTCTACATGTAACCTTTTGAGTAATTGCCATTTTTGTGATTTTCTTGTAGAGACATAAGGTATTTTTGGAAGCAGGCAAGATGAAAAATTAGCAAACGCCTTCACCAGGAATCTAACCACGGACCTCTGAAATACCGGCCCAGCGTGCAGAACCACTACACCACGAAGGCACGCTAGGAAGGCGAGAGAAATACCTTATATACTCCCTCTTTTAAAGGGCGACTGGGGTTTTTAGGGGACCCTATCTCCAAATCCTGGGTGTGAAGAATTCTCAACCAACACCCTTTAGTTCAGGCGCCACTGTAGAGACATTAGGTATTTTTGGAAGCAGGCAAGATGAAAAATTAGCAAACACCTTCACCGGGAATCGAAACACGGACCTCTGGAATACCGACCCAGTGTGCAGAACCACTACACCATGAAGGCGGGAGAAATACCTTATAACCTAAATTAATCATAACTAGTATATTATCTCCCATTCTCTTAATTTGAGCGGGTTTATGCCTTTAATAATTTATTGATATTTTCTTTAATAATTTATTTATTTTATATTTTCTGACGGAAGTCTAGAACATGAGCTAAAACTGCAGGCGTACCAAGTGCTGTGAATTTCATACTTTACTTCTTAATGAATGAGAAACTTTAGAATCCTTAATGCAGGAATTTATATTGTTAAAAAATATTTGCTATTTTCCTTTAATGGGATATATGTCATGCAAAAGTAAACAAAAGAAGCAAACCTGATTCATAAATTTTAATATCTTATTCTAGCTATGTTAAGCATGAAATTTATATTAGAATTTGAAACAATCGAAACATTTTATCATAATGTCGTACATGTTCTGTATTCAGAAACAGTATGTGACATTTTGAAAAGTAACAAAAATTATATAAAATGGAATTCTAAGCTATTTTGTCTAAATCCTATACTAGAATCTGATAACTTTCAAATAGGATCTATTGTTTGGACATCCATGATTATTTTTGAGTACGGGCAAAATGTTAGAAATTCTGGTAGCAAATGTTAAGTGTTTTGACAGATAACAGATATCTGAAAGTACAAGTCAGCTTTGTCTATGAAGTCAAACTTATTGCTGAGTTAGAATGACGACATTCAGAGCAGGTGCAATGCAACAAAAAAACTTTGTCGAATCAATTGTACATAATTGATCAGATGTTTTAAAAAAAAAATATTTCAATACATATAACGTGGTTCGTGCAAAAGGCATCATATACTTAGGACCAAAAATAATTTTGCAAGAAAAAATATATGAAAGCTTTCAGATTTTACGTTAGGCACAAAGGGACTTTTTTTAAAGATTTTTTTTTTAAAGTTTTGTGTGTTACATTTATTTATTAAATATCATGTTCTTTGCACTTAAACCATAAAATTCAGTTCAAAAGCAATATCGCAAAATAATTTTAAAATGAGCATATCTTTAGAATTTCCGATACACAGTCTCGCGCGCTGGAGATAATTTTTTTCTACCAACGGTATTTCCATTGCTCGCTTTGAAATCGCTGAGTTTGTTAATCAAAAATTACAATGTTACAAATTGTAAATTAAAATGTTACAAAATATGAAATCAATAATAAAGCAAATTCCAGATTTCAAATTAGGGCTTCCAGATGCCAATATTCGGTGGAAGAATACGTTATTCAAATTTGATGGCTCTAGATACCGTTGTTTTATCGCAATGCTAGAAACATACTTACATTTATGCAGATTCTTCATTATTTAATTTCTTTAAATAAAACACATGGCGATATTATTTGGTGGCAACAATTTGAAAAGTGAACCAACATTTAAAGTTTTCATCGCAAAATACCGAAACGAAATTAATAGCTTTTCTGAGCTAACGCACTTTGCGCTAATTAGAGAAACCATTTGCAGGTTTACACATCTCATATATTTTTAACGGTAATATTCAGTACTAG